AACCAGGGTCTTTTCCATGACAAGCCAATACCTTAACCACTAGGCTACCCACCGCTCCTGCTGAGTGTTGTGTTAAACAAGAAACAAACAAATATAATACATATCATTTACATTGTTTATGATTAATAAGGACAGAACAACCAACATAGTTTCACTGGACAGTTTTACTGGCTCAACATGGTCTAACATTAGTAGTTGATCCAATTTGTGCTTATGTACAATCCAAGATGAGGCGCCCTTATTTCTGGTGACTTGTTGTTTTTAATGAATATAATTTTAGACATAGGATAGACTTGAGTTTTATGCCTTGTTTGATTAAGATATAAATGTTTTTCACAACTTGTGTCTTCTCAAATATATACTTGGCTAATGAACTGTCATGTGCATTAACCCTGCCGTGATATTGCTGGAATATTGCTAAAAGTCGCTTAACACCATGTTTGCTCACTCACTCACTCACTCACTCAATGCACTCACTCACTCAATGCACTCACTCACTCAATAAGTGTTTAAAATCATCCTTAAATCACATATGGTTATAAATGTGAATTTGATCAAGATTTTATGTTTGAAAATTTTATTTTAGACAGGTGAATCTGAAGTTTCAAATTACCATTACCTTCTTATTGAAACAGCTGATTTGGCTGTATATTTGGTTTCAAATACATTTTGAACAATCAAATATACTACTATCATGGTACTACATATGCAGAACATTAAAACACCAACATTTACATGATGTTTTGTCAAACAACCTTTCCCTTACTTCATGCCCATGTCTGAAATTATAGTGATGATGTGATACAGGAAAAACACAAAAAACTTTCATGCAATTTAAGATGATTTGTTCCTTTCAAATGTATTTTAGGAGATAATTTTGAAACACATTTTTACAGTCATTTTAATCTTTCTTAGCCTAATAACCTCAAGTTAAGAGGATATAGCTTCAAAACAAGTAATTAAGATGGGCAAACATGCCATCACTCATGATCATGATTAGAAAGCCAGCATCTGTTCCTGACATCAATTACAACCATCCTGAATGTACCCACAGGCAAGCACCTGCTCAGTCTCTGACCATGGCAGAAGGTGAGGGAGGGCAGTGGCCGGTGGTCAGATGGGAAGGGGTTAACTCGACTGTAATTACTGCCAGCCGAAGTATGGGTTCCAACAAGGAAGGGTTTCAGCAGATAAAACATTTGAGTCATTGCATAACATTGATGGTTCCAGCATGGATCTGGTTTGAAAGGGATTCTGGCCAGACCTCTGACTCATCCTATGCACATTGATCTGTGAAGAAGACAGGCAGTAGGGTTGTTAAAGGGGCTATGCCACTACCTGACAGAGAGTGATTTGTAAAGTCTTCAGTGTCTTTACTTCTTTGTGGGTGTTAAAGGGGCTGTATCGCTGCCTGATTGAGATTGTTTTGTAAAGTCTCTAGCATCTTTATCTTTTGAGGTAGGGTGTTAAAGGGTCTGTATCAAGTACTCACTATAGTACCCCACCATGCTGAAACATGCAACCACCCTGTAGACTCACCCGACCACCTTCTAGACACACCCTACCACCCTGTACACACACTCTAGGCACACACCATAACTCTGAAGACACATCCCAAAACCCTGAAGACACACCCTACCACCCTAAAGACACACCTGACCACCCTGTAGACTCACCCCACCAGCTTACACACACCCTTACCACCCTGTAGACATACTGTGACACAATGTAGACACTCCTTACCACAGTGTAGACACACCTCATCACTTTGTAGACACAACTCACCACTGTGTAGACACACTGTAGACACCATGTAGACACTCCTTACCACAGTGTAGACACACCCCATCACTTTGTAGACTCACCACCATGTAGACACACTGTAGACACCATGTAGACACCATGTAGACACCCCTTACCACAGTGTAGACACACCCCATCACTTTCTAGACACAACTCACAACTGTCTAGACACTGTAGACACCATGTAGACACCCACCACAGTCACTTTCACTTTGTGTAGACACAACTCACACTGTAGACACCATGTGACACCCCCTTACCACAGTGTAGACACACCCCACACTGTAGACACCATGTAGACACCCCTTACCACAGTGTGTACACACACCCCATCACTTTGTATACCCCATCACTTTGTACTTGTAGACACCATGTAGACACCCTTACCACAGTGTAGACACACCCCATCACTTTGTAGACACAACTCACCACCACCTTGTAGACACACTGTAGACACCATGTAGACACCCCTTACCACAGTGTAGACACACCCCATCACTTTGTAGACACAACTCACCACCATGTAGACACACTGTAGACACCATGTAGACACACCATACCACAGTGTAGACACACCCCATCACTTTGTAGACACAACTCACCACCATGTAGACACACTGTAGACACCATGTAGACACCCCTACCACAGTGTAGACACACCCCATCACTTTGTAGACACAACTCACCACTGTGTAGACACACTGTACACCATGTAGACACACTTACCACAGTGTAGACATACCCCATCACTTTGTAGACACCATGTAGATGCACACCACAGTGTACACTTTGTGTAGACACAACACACCCCACCACACCATGTAGACATACTGTGACACTGTAGACACACCCCATCACCCTGTAGACACACCTCATCATTTTGTAGACACAACTGACACCAGTGTAGACACACACCCTGTAACCTGTACACAGTGTAGACACCCCCATCACTTTGTAGACACAACTCACCACTGTGTAGACACACCCTCGACACACCCCACCACACTGTAGACATACTGTGACACAATGTAGACACCCCTACCACCCTGTACACACACCCCATCACTTTTTAGACACATCTCACCACAGTGTAGACACACCCTACACAACCCACCACACTGCAGACATCGTAACCACTTTGTAGACAACACCCCAAAACTAGTCCTGTGTACACCCTTCACCCTTTAGCAGGGGTGGTTGGGTAGCCTAGTTGTTAAAGCGTTCGCTCATCACACCGAAGACCTAGGTTTCATTCCCCACATGGGTACAATGCTTGAAGCCCATTTCTGGTGTCCTCTGGTGTGATATTGCTGGAATATAGCAAAGCAGCGTAAAACTAACCTCACTCACTCAACCCTTTAGCAACAAGTATTTTGTTGACAACATGCAGCACAACATATCACAGGTTCATTAAGATAAAACATTATACCTGGCTTGTCAGGCTTGCAGTACCATCACTGATTACCCTGATGTTTGTCCAGCTCACCCTCTCTCATTAAAGTAGCTGATGCTAAGCTGGGGTAATCCCTGCATATAGCTGTGGCTTTATCCCTGATATCAACAACCCAGGCTCACTGCATCAAGCGCAATTAGACCATGGCCTCTCATTGGCTGAGACTCTGGCAGAGGTTGTATATCAGTTTGTTAATCCCCTTGAATATAATCCTTGTGTGATTATGGTGTCACAGTGTCCAGCTGGGCTTCAGATTAGAGGTATAAGATTGTGGTCGCTGTGGCAGTAGCTGTTGGCAACTGTAGATTTGTCCTATCCTGAACTTGGTGGGGAATAAGTACCTCGAAGGACATCTTGTGAAAATGTTTACTTAAATGGTTTAAAAACTTTGCTTCTGGAAAGAATTCCCCAATAAATACACATGACATATTTGGGATGTCTTTGATAATTTGTTATTTTCATTATAAGACAGGTGGCAGTGATACTGTAACTTATTTCAATCTCAATCAATTTCTTCAATTTCAATCTCAATGTACTTATGATGAAATAGACTTTGGATCGTATCCAAGTGAAGATATGTCTTAAGATTGTGAACTCGTTCTGTGAACCACACAGGCTGTTTTTGATCATTCTGTCTTTGTGACCCTCAGATTGAGCTATTAGATCATCTACTCTGTGAAGTCTTCCACATGGAGGTCGTTAGATCATGCAGTCTTTGTCATGCTTCAGTTGATGCCATTAGAGCATCTACTCTGTGTAATCTTCACATGGAGGTCGTTAGATCATGCAGTCTTTGTCATGCTTCAGTTGATGCCATTAGAGCATCTACTCTGTGTAATCTTCACATGGAGGTTGTTAGATCATGCAGTCTTTGTCATGCTTCAGTTGATGCCATTAGAGCATCTACTCTGTGTAATCTTCACATGCAGGTCGCAGATCATGCAGTCTTTGTCATCCTTCAGTTGATGCCATTAGAGCATCTACTCTGTGTAATCTTCACATGGAGGTCGTTAGATCATGCAGTCTTTGTCATCCTTCAGTTGATGCCATTAGAGCATCTACTCTGTGTAATCTTCACATGGAGGTCGTTAGATCATGCAGTCTTTGTCATGCTTCAGTTGATGCCATTAGAGCATCTACTCTGTGTAATCTTCACATGGAGGTTGTTAGATCATGCAGTCTTTGTCATGCTTCAGTTGATGCCATTAGAGCATCTACTGTGTGTAATCTTCACATGGAGGTTGTTAGATCATGCAGTCTTTGTCATTTCAGCATGCCATTAGAGCATCTACTCTGTGTAATCTTCACATGGAGGTTGTTAGATCATGCAGTCTTTGTCATGCTTCAGTTGATGCCATTAGAGCATCTACTCTGTGTAATCTTCACATGGAGGTTGTTAGATCATGCAGTCTTTGTCATGCTTCAGTTGATGCCATTAGAGCATCTACTCTGTGTAATCTTCACATGGAGGTTGTTAGATCATGCAGTCTTTGTCATGCTTCAGTTGATGCCATTAGAGCATCTACTCTGTGTAATCTTCACATGGAGGTTGTTAGATCATGCAGTCTTTGTCATGCTTCAGTTGATGCCATTAGAGCATCTACTCTGTGTAATCTTCACATGGAGGTCGTTAGATCATGTAGTCTTGTTGTGCTAGGACTTATTTTGTTAGATCATGCATTTAGTCAAAGAAGATACATTACAGTTAAATTAGTCCTTTCATCATTATTCTTGTCTGTTCCAGGTGTTGACGTCCTGTCTGATGTCGGCGATGTTGCAGCAGTGAGGGGGCTGCGGAAATTGTCACCACAGGGCATGCAGGTCACAGAGAATTTCCCAGGGTTCAACATCAGTCAGCAAGTAGCATCAGAGTTCCTGAAGAGGATCTATGGCGAGATCAGCATATCCTTCACAGCCCATGCAGAGGAGGCCCACAAGATTCGTCTCCTGGAAATATACCAACCTGGGAAGAAACTGCCATATTTGGAGTCGTATCTCAACTTGAAGAGCGGGAATGTGGTTGTCCGTTATCAGGGAACCAAATCGTTCCAGCGGGTTGTGGTCAAGAAGGTTCTCCCTGCATGGAAATGGAGTTCTCTAGAGCTGAAGTTAAACAGAAGCAGTTTACAGGTGTCTGTTGACTGTGACAACACACATGTGGCGTCGCTACGGCAACCACTTGCGCCACCGCCAGAGGAAGCTGAAGTGTGGGTTGTGAGAAAAACGGAGACTGATAAACAGATGAAGGTACAGTACCAATATGGATTTGTTGTGTCACATGTTAGTTGTGGAAGGAAAGTCTGTTGGATTTGGCCATCTTTTTTATGTTAATCATTTTATATTTAATGTGTCATCTGTGTTTGATGCGTCAGGCAGGTAGTGCTGTAACTGTGGATCAAACTATCGATGGATTGCAATTGTTGAGTCTCCGATAGCAATTAATCAATGGTAGAAATGAAAAACTATCAATGCGCTGATAGTATGTGTGTGACCATCTATAGTTTAGTAATAGACTTCCGTTGATAAATGCGCAGAGCAAAATACATGAAGTACCAGATTTGTTATCCCCCGCAACGCGTTTTGTGGGGGGTATTAAAATGGTAGTGCTCTTTTCTGGAGCAGAAGTTTAAAACCGTTCAATATTTCTTCACCAAACTTGGCACATACATAGATCTGATGGTGTACTGGTGCCTTTTGGTAGTTTTGGTATTCTGAATTAAATATTTTTGGCGTTTCCATGGCAACAAGTTTGACTTGGACTGAAACTGGTGATAGTGCTCCTTTCTGGAGCAGAACTCTAAAACCGTTCAATGTTTCTTCACCAAACTTGGTACATACATAGATCTGGTGGTGTACTGGTGCCTTTTGGGAGTTTTGGAATTCTGAATAAAATATCTTTGCATTTCCATGCCAACAAGTTTGACTTGGACTGAAACTAGTGATAGTGCTCCTTTCTGGAGCAGAACTTTTAAAACCTTTCAATACTCTCCTTCCACTTTTCTATATACACACCAAAACATATGACATAATCATAACTCGTAGGCATATTCATGAAGAGTATTTTGCCATTGCGGGGGATATTGATGACTTTGTCTTCTTGTTTACTTTGATTTAGAGTTATCCACCCTTGTTACCTCTTAAACAAGCATTGCGGCAAACATGGCATGCGACTTGGAGTTAACAATAGGTTTATGTGTTAACTGTTTACTTGATCTGGGTTTCAAGTTTCTTGTCAGTTATTAAAAGAGTCTGAAACTACTTCAACTTAGGTGCCTGACTCTGAGGGTGTGGGTTCGAATCCTGGATGGGACTCAACCCAACAAAAAGTACTAGAATCTGTACTTTACAAAGAAAGTGTAATCCCAAATATAACATATGTTACATTTGACCACTTTCTAAATGGCATTGTGTATTTCCTAGCTTTCGGATGTGGCAGCCGTGCCAATTAACTTTTATCAGAGGGGTACACAAAGTCTGCAGTGTAGACTACCAGTTGTCCGTTTCCATGTGTCAGGTGTGGCTGAATGACTCAGGTATGTGACTTTGGTGCTGGCTATCATGTGCCTGACTCTGAGGGTGAGGTTTACTTGCCTGTCTGACTCAACTTGTCTGTCAGTACTAGAATCTGTACTTTACAAAGAAAGTGTAATCCCAAATATAACATGTGTTCTTCAACTTGTTTATAATCATATAAACTATACATTCATTTGTCAAATGACTTCAAATGTCAGGTCAACTTTCATGGAGAAAAACACTATTGCAATAGTTGTCACAATAGACTATCGCTATTGCAATTTGTCTGTGATATTCAATAGTTGGTCACAATAGACTGTCACATCGAATCAGGTGTTTTGTCTCAACAATAGTCACCCCTTTGTCCGCGATGTCCAATGTGTCAGATGTTTCATGAATCAGGTGTGTTTGTCTTGTCAGGTGTGTTTGATTTGTCCGTGATGTTCAATGTGTCAGATGTTTCATGAATCAGGTGTGTTTGTTTTGTCAGGTGTGTTTGATGTGTCTGATGTGATGTTTCAGATGCCATGTCAGGTGTGATTGTCTTGTCAGGTGTGTCAGATTTGTGTTTGTTTTGTCAGTTTCAGGTGTGTTTAATGTGTCCATGATGTGTCAGATTTGTCCGTGATGTCAGATGTGTTTCATGAATCAGGTGTGTTTGTTTTGTCAGGTGTGTTTGATTTGTCCTGTGATGTTCAATGTGTCAGATGTTTCATGAATCAGGTGTGTTTGTCTTGTCAGGTGTGTTTGATTTGTCCGTGATGTTCAATGTGTCAGATGTTTCATGAATCAGGTGTGTTTGTCTTTGTCAGGTGTGTCAGGTGTGATTGATTTGTCCGTGATGTTCAATGTGTCAGATGTTTCATGAATCAGGTGTGTTTGTTTTGTCAGGTGTGTTTGATTTGTCCGTGATGTTCAATGTGTCAGATGTTTCATGAATCAGGTGTGTTTGTTTTGTCAGGTGTGTTTGATTTGCCTGTGTTGTTCAATGTGTCAGATGTTCCATGTGTCAGGTATGTTCGATGTACCAACTATGTCTGACATGTTTTGATGAGTTGTTTATTGTCCCTCTCCCTGAGTGACCTTTTCTCTTTCCCCTACAGGGCATTGTGTTTGATGTGAGGCTGTACCCGTCAACAGGTGATCACACAGACAGGTGTAAAGACTTCCTCCACACAGGTGAGACAATATGGCTGTTTTGTAATGACCAGGTCTTAATTCATATCAGCTGTGACTGGTACATTTCTCCAAACACATCAAATACTCAATTCCTTCTTTTAACATAGGAAACTGAGAATTCAAAATGTGATGCTCACAACTTATAACCATGAATTGCAAGTTTTGATTGTCAGATACTTTCTAGGTACATGTATTTACATGACTCACATGTGATATGCACATTGTAGTGAATCTAACATGTTTTGTATGGTCTACAGGTATGCCACAAATGCATGAAGATGTAACAAGTCCCTATCTGATATGTCATCTGTTATTTACAGGTGTGACACAGGTACAGCCAGATGTAACATGTTGTTGTGTTATTTACAGGTGTGACACAGGTACAGCCAGATGTAGCATGTTGTTGTGTTATTTACAGGTGTGACACAGGTACAGCCAGATGTAACATGTTGTTGTGTTATTTACAGGTGTGACACAGGTACAGCCAGATGTAACATGTTGTTGTGTTAATTACAGGTGTGAGACAGGTACAGCCAGATGTAACATGTTCTGTTATTTACAGGTGTGACACAGGTACAGCCAGATGTAACATGTTCTATTGTTTTTTACAGGTGTGACACAGGTACAGCCAGATATGACATGTTCTATTAATTGTTTACAGGTGTGACACAGGTACAGTCAGATGTAACATGTTGTCCTGTTATTTACAGGTGTATTTACAGGTACAGTCAGATGACACAGGTACAGCCAGATGTAACATGTTGTTGTGTTATTTACAGGTGTATTTACAGATGTAACATGTTGTTCTGTTACAGGTGTGACACAGGTACACAGGGTACAGCCAGATGTAACATGTTAACATGTTGTGTTATTTACAGGTGTGACACAGGTACAGCCAGATGTAACATGTTGTTGTGTTAATTACAGGTGTGACACAGGTACAGTCAGATGTAACATGTTGTTCTGTTAATTACAGGTGTGACACAGGTACAGTCAGATGTAACATGTTGTTCTATTATTTACAGGTGTGACACAGGTACAAGCAGATGACAGTCAGGGAGCAGGCCGCAGCAGGGGACCCAGTGTCAGGCGGGATGACAACATGGAGGATCGGGTGTTGCTGCTTGAGAGACAGCTAGCACAGATTGTCATCACCATGGATACACTCAAAGCTCAGGTATGATGTTGTTAATTATAAATAATGAGTTATGTTTGAATCTATAAGTACTGAAATATTTATGGCAGGTGTGTTAGAAAATGTTTATTTTTACATGATTAAATTTTGAATGTGCATTTTTTCGGACCTAATTTGAGGAAATATAAGGAACGGTCTAAGATGTGATGGCCTGTTGTGTGATGATTGTAATGTTCTTTTATCTTCAGAATGTAGACCTGAGTAATCGCGTGGGGTACCTGGAAACATGCGAGTGTCGCCCTCTATGTTCCCACGGTGGAGTGGTGTATGGTGAAGGACAGACCTGGTCACCTGACCTGTGTACAGTCTGTCAGTGTGTGGTGTGTACTTCATTCTCAACATAGCTAAATACTTATTACGAAAATGTCATTTGAGTCATAATGATACATAAAACAAACATTTGCTTTTAGATTGGAAAAGTTAAATTATTTGTAAATATCTATGAAGTTCAGCTGCATGTCTTTTTGTTGTCGACCCTTGAACATCTGGGTTAGAGTATTGATCTCCAGCAACCCATGCATGTCGTAAAAGGCGACTAACGGGATCGGGTGGTCAGGCTCGCTGACTTGGTTGACATGTCATCGTATCCCAATTACGTAGATCGATGCTCATGCTGTTGATCACTGGATTGTCTGGTCCAGACTTGATTGTTTACAGACTGCAGCCATATAGCTGGAATATTGCCAAGTGCGGCGTAAAACTAAACTCACTCACTCACTCCAGTTGTCTCCCTTTGTCCTGTTTGCAATGTAATCTCAAGAAACATGTTTGTGTTTCAGAGTGGCCGACCGGAGTGTAGTGTTCGCCCAGACATACCATCCTGTCAGAGTGAGTGAAGATAATTCATACTATCGCACATGTCACCTCAATCCATTCTTAGCAAACAGTAGATATCTGTGAAGTCCCTAGCTGCATCAGTTTATGAATTAAATTTTTCTTGAAATTTGAATTTGGCTTTTTGTTTTTAATTTCAATATTTTTTAGCACACTTTGTCAGTGTGAGCTTATGTTATGTTTCTATATCTTTTGTCCCGTAGCTCTGAAAATTGAAATAATTTTCATCTCCAAATCTACCAAACATATCAACATTGTTTTCACTTGTTCAAAATGTCTCCAGCTATACAAAGTAAACTGTTGATTTTGGAAAATTTAAAATGTTTGCCACAGTGTCTGGATTAGTAATGAAACAGCTTCTTGCAGTCTGGTCTCCTAGGAAACCATTGGCCATATTTTTTAAATACTGAGAGGATGTTATGAAGTCCTTCTTTACAATGACGTAAGGTTTCTCATGGTGTTTTTAATTCTCTCTAGTCCTTACTGTGTGTGTCAGAATGTACATGCTCGGGAAGGGCCAGTCATCAACAGTTCTGGGTGTTTCTATTTCATGTGGGTCGGTGGGGTAGCCTAGTGGTTAATGGGTTCGCTCATCACGCCGAAGACCTGGGTTCGATTCCCCAACATGGGTACAATGTGTGAAGCCCATTTCTGGTGTCCCCCACCATGATATTGCTGGAATATTGCTAAAAGCAGTCATAAAACCATACTCAGTCAGTCAATTTCATGCAAGAAATTTTTACTGAGTGTGACCTCACATCTGGTGCGTGCGATTTACACTTCTCGAAGTGGAAGTGGACTCTTCCGGAATGTTCGATTTGCACGCTTCTCTTCTCGGAAGTACTTTCAGCTCTTCTCATTCACGAGCAGAAGAGCGAGCATCAGAGCAAGCAGAAGAGCGTGGTCTTTGGCTGTTCGATATAAAACCCAGAAGACTCCTCTTCTGGAACAGGTTTCTCTTCCGAAGACGTATAATCGCAAGCGCCTATGTTCAGTTCAAGCAGTTTTCAATTCCCAAACCAAAACAAGAGACCTCCACAACAATCCAAGCACTGGTTTCCATCATGCCTTTCATCAGAGGCAAACAAGAGAAAACTTGTGTGCTGTTCTTGAGGATGAGTTCAAAACACTCATTACAACACTGGCTTAGAAGTCAACGTTTATTTAGCCTATATGACAATATACTCATATAATGCTATGGTCGTATGAAGCAATTGACCCTCCCAGACAGAGTGCCTTGCAGCCATCTAGTTGCTCTGTCACATCACATCTTGCACAGTCAAAAACAATATTGCAGCTGTTTTTCATTTGTTACATTTCTGACGAGTCTGCACATTTTGCTGAACATTCATTTTGCATGCTTTTTGTTTATAAATTCCATAACTACACATATTGTGATATGATATCCACCCAAAGAGGAACACCTGACTTCACCTGAACCAGTGTTATGTGATGTTGATGAAAGTTAACTCATGATAGATATAATGTTGCATACAGCAGTAATATGACTGGTGCTGTGTACTGCAGTGTAATAGCTAAATATTGCATACTGTTGTCATATGGCTAAAATGTTGCAAACTGCTGTGATATAGCTAAATGTTGCATAGTGCTGTGATATAGCTAATTGTTGCACAGTGCTGTAATTTAGCTAATTTAGCCAAATTTTGCATACTGCTGTGATGTGGCTATAATGTTGCACATTCTGTGATGTAGTTGAACATATGTTGCATAATGCTTTGATATAGATATGATTGCTGTGATACAGGTATAATATTGCACACTGCTGTGATGCAGCTATAATATTGCACACTGCTGTGATGTAGCCAAAATGTTGCACACTGTTGTGATGTAGCCATAATGTTGCAAACTTCTATGATGACTGTATTATTGCTAAATCTGTGATGTAGCTACAATGTTGCCTAACAATGTCACGTGACTACAGTTTTGAATGCTGCTGTGAGTGGGTGAGTGAGTGACAGCGGGGGACACCTGAAATGGGCTTCACACATTGTACCCATGTGGGCAATCAAATCCGGGTCAGCGTGACATGGCTACAGTGTTGTGTACTGCTATGACTATGCTGTAATGTGGAAACTGTAGGCAGGCTACTGTGATGCCTATATTATTATTATAGGATATTTATATAGCGCACATATCCATGCACTAGTGTATGCTCAAGGCGCTGGTATTTTTCTCTCGATAATTGGATGTCAATCTAAACGGCACATCGCATTATCAATCTCAACTCCCTGGGGAGTATACAACTCTTTCAGCCACTAGGCGAACGAAGTTATTGTGGCTATATAAGTGTTGCTGTAGTGATACAGGGGCGGTTGGGTAGCCTAGTGGTTAAAGCGTTCGCTCGTCATGCTGAAGACATGGGTTCGATTCCCCACATGGGTACAATGTGTGAAGACCATTTCTGGTGCCCCCTGCCGTGATGTTGCTGGAATATTGCTAAAAGCGGTGTAAAACCATACTCACTCACTCACTGTAGTGATACAGATGTGCTGTAGTCAATATTCCGATCTTCAACATCTAACTCTTGCTAATCACTGACACAGACATGCAAGCTTTTATTGGACATTGTAGGCTGTCGCTCAGCACGGCACTCACATTCTCTCAAGTGGTACATCTGAGATGTAGACATATTCAAAACTAAGGGTTCCCTTAATGCCACCAAACATCCATTATTTCTGGTTATGATTTAGCAACTATTGAACATTGCAATTTCTAATACCATATATTTTATGATATGTGTCATAGCTAAAAACAGAATCTGACTGCCAGTGTTTGCCACTTTGACATCACAATGATCATTGTGACATCACCATGACTGTGACATCCCAGGGACTGTGATACCATGAGCATATAATGAGACCCCCAAACAGGACTTTAAAATGTGATACTGACAGCAATGGCTACAAATAAGGAAACATTGTAGTCTCTTGAGACGAATATGTCAGATTTTTTACGCCTCTTCATGTGGTTAGTTTGTCTGCTTTACCTCTGACTTACTGTCTCCACAGCTCCCTGCCTGAGTTCTCCTTGCTCTGCACACGGCTCCTGTCATGACCTTGACCCCACTGCAGGCACCTTCCAGTGTCAATGTCAGCCTCCGTATGATGGCCCAACATGTCAGACTCGACGGAACCCATGTGTCTGGGGCCCAGAAATAGGATCCTGCAACCAGTCCATCCCACGCTACTTCTACAACAGGTTCTCCCAGGGATGTGACACTTTCAACTACACGGGTAGGGATTTTATACCTTTAAGTACACAGGTAGGGATATACACCTTTAACTACATAGGTAGATATTTGCACCTTTGACTATAAAAGGTAGATATTTAACTACACCGGTAGATATATACACCTTTGACTAAACAAAGGTTGGGATTTATACCTTTAACTACAAAGGTAGGCATTTATATCTTTAACTAGACTGGTAGGGATTTACACCTTTGACTAGATAGATAAGGTATTATACCTTTGACTACACAGGTAGGGATTTACATCTTTAACTACACAGGTAGGGATTTATGTCTTTAACTACTCAGGTAAGGATATATACGTTTAACTACAAAGTTAGATATTTTCACTTTTTACTACACAGGCTGGGATTTTAATCTTTAACTACATCGGAAGGGTAGTGAGGCACAGGTAGTGACTTTATTCCTTTGACTCCACAGGTAGAGATTAAATATCATCAACTACATTGGTGGTTATGTAATACCTTTAAATAAGAAGGATTATGACAATTCTCCTTCATCTAATATATATTTTGTCATTTGTAGTTATTGGTTTTACACATGTACACATGTATTGTGTATTACACTAAACATGTTATGTAGTGGAAAAACGTCATATGACTATAACCTTCTAGCGCCTAACAGGTAGCTTGGGTTATCCGGGGTAATAATGTGCTGTGCCTTGATTGTTAGCGCTATGAGCATACCTAGTGTGGAGTTTGGCGCTATATAAATGCACACATTATTATTATTATTATTATTAGTTTACACAGATGCATGGTCTTGGTAATGAGGGTTTGCTGTAGTGGAAACACGGGCTTTTGTTTAAGGTTGTGGAGGCAACATCAACAACTACCCCACCATGGATGAGTGCAATGACACCTCAATGCATGGTGCCTGTTGCTATCGGCGATATTCTACAACACTGGAAGACATTGTGCAGAGTGACCAGCAGTTAGAGATCAGATGTGAGGTATGTATAAAGACTAGACACCTACTGTGAGGTATGTATAAAGACTAGACACCTACTGTGAGGTATGTATAAAGACTAGACACCTACTGCGAGGTATGTATAAAGACTAGACACCTACTGTGAGGTTTGTATATACTGTACATCGACAAAGTTCCCCGTCGTCAATGTTTTGCGTGATCAACAACCCAGCCAGTTCTATGTCGTGTTTGTTTTGCGAGTCCTCCTCTTGTAACAACAAGTCGAATTGTTGACAATACATAATATCACTTCGCGTGGACGAACATACAAGAAAAGACCAAAGACGCGACAAATTTGCAATTAAACATCGCCAGAAAAGATTATTTACCTATTCAGTTCTAATTTGTTTTTGCTAGGCATTGTCTTATATGCAGTGATTATGATTACCATGTGTAATTGTCTCGTTTACAACGCTGGAAATAGCAATCAGCTGTGCAGTGCACATGTTCCCCTACTGATGATTTGGTTAAAACGTACCCGATAATATACCGAGATGAATTGTGATGCAGTGATCTTAAAAAGATAGTATCTAAAACTATTGTTTTATAAAGAGAAATACATTCTAGTATTGTGTCATTTTCATTGCAGGTTGTGCTCTATAAATGTAAAATATTTATAATCATAACTAAGGTAATGCGGCAGTTTTTTGGTGTATTGACGGATAGTTTTTTTGCATGGAACAATTTAACCTGTGACCGATGAGGTTTCTCGCGATGTCGCTATTTCCACTGTGAAAGCAGTTTGTTGAAATGTGATCGTCCAGCTACACTAATTATGGCTTTTGGTGAAACAAAATGTATCCATTTACTGTCAACTACACTTCATTTCGAGACGTGAGTAGACGCAATATGTTAGTGATTGCTGTGAAGTAAGTACATTGTGGTAAGGAATATTACTGGTAGACGAACATCTGGACTTCTTGACATTGTTTGATCACATAATTACTTAACAAAATGAGAGACGCCATTATGCCTGGAAAGTTTTGCGCCCAAAACTTTGTCGATTTACATAGGTGTTGAAGGATGAAAAAGGCTTAGTAACAGAGTGTGTGTTTTTCAGAAACTTCATATTGGCGCCTGCAAGTCTCTGCATCGTCAACCAGATGGAGACTTTGAGACGGAAGTGATCAGCTTCTACCCCGGGATGACGTGTGAGGAGGCTGGGTGCATGACAGCAGGTGCTTGTGTGGTGGGAGGGCTTATTGAGGCGCTGGACTCGCAGTTCCCTCTTGGATGTGAAGACTGTTCCTGTAAGCCTGGAGGAAGGGTGGAGTGCAGGTGAGTGGCTACAACAGGTAGGACACACAGGAGTGAGTTAGAGACAGGTGCTTGTGTGGTAGGAGGGCTTATTGAGGCGGTGGACTCGCAGTTCCCTCTTGGATGTGAAGACTGTTCCTGTAAGCCTGGAGGAAGAGTGGAGTGCAGGTGAGTGGCTACAACAGGTAGGACACACAGGAGTGAGTATGAGACAGGTGCTTGTGTGGTAGGAGGGCTTATTGAACCTGTAAGCCATGAGGACAGGTGGAGTAAGTTTGAGGACAGGTAGAATTTAGCTGAGTGGATGTTGAACAAGTGCACTTCAGGTGAGTGGGTACAACAGGGAGAGCATACATAAGTGGATGTCGGTATGTGAATGTAAAAGCTGGTAAAGTGGAGTTCAGTGGGCCTGAACACAGGTAAAATGGAGGTGAGTGCAGGTAGAATACATGTGATTGTGTGATGGACATGTTGCCAGTTAATCATGTTCATTACTCAGAAATGGATCTGGAGATAAGGTGAGATTATTGTTTGATGAATCATTTGACAAAATGAATCTGTCCTCACTAAAGTACCACAGAATTGCAAGCATGAGCATGTAAATGTTTTGCGTAAAGCTAAAACATGCACAACAATAACTTTGTTCGTATGACTTCAGCTGTAAGCACCGCAGTGTGAGGAAAGAGATCCGGGACATGACCAGGATTGAGATGGTCCATTTCCAGAATGCAGTCCGCATCCTTCGCGAAGACAACACCACCAGCGTGTGGGAGACATTTCGTGACCTCTATATGACTCACAGCATGCATGCCAGTGGCGGCGCCTACTTCCTTCCCTGGCATCGCTACTTCCTGCGCGACATTGAAAGGAAGCTGCAGGAAGTTGACTGTGACATCAGCATCCCATACTTCGACTTCACCACAGATATTGGCAACATGGCCAACGCAATTGTTTGGCAGCCAAGTTACTTTGGCGGAGATGGTGAAGGGTTAGACAACTGCGTGTCAGACTTACCGTTCGGTGACCGTGGGACGTGGCAACCATGTGTAATGAGGAGTTTTAACACAAGTGTCAATCTGCCGTCACAGCTAGAACTGGCATTAGCTCTGGCCAGTGAAGACTACATGGAGATGAGCCTTTGTCTGGAGACCTACATCGCCTATCTCCACACCTTCATTGGTGGCGACATGGCGACCACATCCAGTGTGTATGATCCGGTGTTCCTTACTATTCATGCTTACATCGATCACCTCTACTGGACCTGGCAACTGAAGGATCAGAATATGTTCAAGTTCCCGGCAGCCTTTGGGAGCATTCCCATGATTCCTTTCAATGTAGCACCTCGGGATGTTTTTGACCTTGACAATCTGTGTGTGACCTATGCTCTCCCTACTAAAGGTCACCCATGTAACAAGACTGACCTTGTCCTGAGACCATCAAGGTCAGGCGTACAACGAGGTGACATCAACCCTGAGCTGGCCTATGGTGTTGACAGCTATGACCAGTTTGGCTACAATGAAGATGGATATGACAGAATAGGATATGACATATTTGGTTATGACCGAGATGGTATGTTTACAAAAGATGACTTTTGCATGGCTTGACTAATTGTCTTATTTTCATTTTATCAAAATTCTTATTCTTAGAGTTTGATTATGATAAGGAATAATTTTTGTAGGATACACTTTAAGAATAAATAAAAATAAAAAATAAAATATATATACTATTTATTACCCTTACCTGTGAAAAGGTATTCGTGAGATTCTTTGTTGCTGAAAACCAACATTATTCAGGCCTTATAATCCAAAGAACATGAGAAATACAGTCAATGGTTTCAGGATTTGATGCCTGATGGTTGTGTTATATTCTTCAGGGTTTAACAGAGATGGTGTCAACAGATACGGATATGATGTCGATGGAATTGGAAGGTTTGGCTTTGACCGTGATGGATATGATCTCCATGGTTTCAACATTGACGGCCTAGACAGGAGTGGTAACCCAGACACATCAGGGAGGTTTGGCAGGGATGGACTGAACCAGTGGTGTCTGACACGTGGAGGTGAGGGCTGTACTCACCTCTCACAGAGGTTGGGAAGAGGGAGATATATGTTTGCTGTCTGACGTAGTTGAGAGGGGTAGATACATACTTGGCTTCTTATAAAGGTTTGGAAGGATCAGAGGTATACACTGCAGCTCTAAAGAATTGGTTTGGGAGAGAACGTTCTTGACCCCTTAGGGGTGGTCCAGGTCTATGCACTGTCATGTGAATGGAGATTCTTGAGAACAAACTCAACAAGTGTCATGAAGGAAAGATAATGTAGTGAAGTGTTTTTCATCTGAGGAGACCTATCACAATGAGTACAGCAAAAGATCAGAAGTATTTAAAGCTTGGAGTCTTATGGTAACAGAAATCAGAGCCCCTAATAAGCTTTTGGCCATGTGGGTATCATATCCATACTTTTGAAACTAAGTGGGTATTTCCAATTTCAAGTGGGTATCTATCCTTTTACATACCCACCACCGGGTATTCAGTTCAAATAAGTATAAGTGGTGTGACATTATTTTATTTGATAATAAAATAAGACAAAATCCTCCTAACAGTGCTAAATTATAGCTAATAGCTATAATACTTTAAGTTTGATTGGCTTGAATTGATACGATGATCAAGATGATTTTGATGTACTTTATCCACTTGTGCTGTAAGAAATAATACATGCCTTACTCTACATCCGATGTAACACCCATTTCTTCACTCTAACAGGGAATTCTGATTGTGAAACACAGTACTTGCCTATTAATTCATCTAGTCCTCTAATGAAGTTGTTTTCTGTTTGTAAAGCATAAAAAAATACATATTTTACTTTGAGCATGTTGAAGCTTTCGACCACACTTATTGATTTGTTTACAGGACATGCAGAAAGAAAACAGCTATTTGATTGGTCGCTGTTTATAGATGGGCCAATCAGTTAAGGGTTAACAAAACTATGATTGGTATTCTATCTTCGTTGCACATTTTAATTGCGTTTAGAATTATTCAAGATTGTTTTAATCGCAAATATTCAGAGATGGAAAAACTTTAAGTTTGAATGGCTTGAATTGATACGATGCTCAAGATGATTTTGATGTATTGAGTAAATACGCATTGTTATTTTGACATAGCGTAAATATAAATATTTAGTGTTTTTTCATACTGTGGCATTTATTTTTCTTGCGTGTTTCATCTTTTCTATAGCAAATTATATGCAAATACGCAGCTTATCTGGAGCTCTGGAAATATTACATGGTACTTCATTTCCTGATAGGTTTGAACCCAGATGGCTTCGACAAGTATGGCTTCTCTGTACATGGGTACGATGCCGAGTACTGCAACTACCTCAACAATGGCCCATATGCCACCATCTATTCCCTGAAGATCTTTGACATACTCAAGCGACAAGGGAAGGGATTCTTGATGTCTCTGCCACGGATCTGCCCAGGACTCGAACCCTTGCCTTCCCAGTGGGTTGAGCAGTATTGGGCCACCAACATCAAGGATGTCACAGGTAGTTCATATTACCATATATTCAAGGAATAATCTTGTATTAGTTTCAAATTATGGCAAATGCTTCAGATTGCTAGCCCTTCACCACCCAGAGATTTACAATAATTGTTGTGTTGTATACTGTACAAGGTAGCTAGTGTTTCCTCCATAACAAAATAACTGATTTGATCAAATGTTTCTCTCCTCCAGGAATGGTTCCTGTCAACATGTCTATTCAGACATCATTGCCATCAGCACGATTCTGTTTTGACGTGGACCAATTCATCAGCCCATGTCCATGTGACAGGCCCATTGCGACGTGCACCTCCAACCCCTGTGCAGGAGCCACGTGTCGGGCATTCCCTGGGGCCCAGTGTCATGTCAGCTTTTGTGGGGAGTGTTCTGCCCAGTGGCTCTACAACAACATGGTGGTGGACTGCCAGGAGGAGAGAGGTAGGGAACATGTGCAGGTCATCACTGACCAAGGGGATGACATAGTGAGGCCATCACTGACCAATGGGTCATGACTGAACTCACAATTAAGATGCTAGTGAGGCCATCACTGTTGAGGTCATCTGACAATCATCACCAAAGAAAAGTTATGGTGGGGTGGTCACAGGTAACCTAAAGGAAAGTTATGGTGAGGTCATCACACTTAACCCAATGGAAAGTCAAAGGAAAGTCATGGCAGGTATTCACAATTAAGCCAAAGGAAAGTCATGTCATGGCAAGGTATTCATTAAGCCGAGGTCATCTGCAATTCGCACTAAGCCAAAAGGAAAGTCATGGCAAGGTCATTCACAATTAAGCCAAAGGAAGCCAAAGGACTGACTGACTGAGTTTGGTTCATTACGCTTTTTAGCAATATTCCAGCAACATCACGGAAAGTCATGGGGGACATTGTACCCATGTATGGGATTCGAACCCTGGAAAGTCTTGGCGGTATGATGAGCCAACGCTTTAACCATTAGGCTACCCCACCGCCCTCCAAAGGGAAAGTCATGGCAAGGTATTCACAATTAAGCCAAAGGAAAGTCATGGCAAGGTCATCACAGTTACCCTAAAAAGAAATGTGTCATCATCATCACAGTTTCCCTAAAGGAAAGGTGTCATCATCACCCTAAAGGAAGTTGACTCCAGGGATTGTTCTGGCAACTGACCCTACAGGCAGTGTTTGTAGTTTACTTAGTCAGTGGAGATGTATGTACATGAGCCTCTCCTTGCAAGCCTCTCTGTCGGCCTCTGTATCAGACTGTCAGGGAGCCTCTACAAATCTTTCACAATGTATGATTACAAATCTTTACAATGATGTGGACTTTTTTATAACATTATTTATTCCAGATAAATCAAATTTGTTGTCTTGATGCATGCTGTTGAATGTCATTGATAGCATATCCAGCAGTGTCTCACATATGCTATTTTATCTATCACATATGATGTTTTCCAGATTTCTGCAACCCAAACCCATGTGAACATGGTGGAACCTGCATGGAGTCCATCTGGATCAACGAGCCGCACCAGGTCACGTGTATCTGTCCCCCGGGATATGATGGCCATCTTTGTCAGTATGAAGTGGAGGACACCTGTACACTGCCCATCTCTACTGGTAGGTCTCCTGTTTACTGCAATCAATAGTACAAGGTCTCTTGCAGAGTGTCCTCAATAGTACTGGGTCTCCTGTTCACTTGCCATCTCTACTGGTAGGTCTCCTGTTTACTGTAATCAATAGTGCAAGGTCTCTTGCAGACTGTCCTCAATAGTACTGGGTCTCCTGTTCACTGCCCATCTCTACTGGTAGGTCTCCTGTTTACTGCAATCAATAGTGCAAGGTCTCTTGCAGACTGTCCTCAATAGTACTGGGTCTCCTGTTCACTGCCCATCTCTACTGGTAGGTCTCCTGTTTACTGCAATCAATAGTGCAAGGTCTCTTGCAGACTGTCCTCACTAGTACTGGGTCTCCTGTTCACTGCCCTACACTACTTGGTAGGTCCCCATAGACTGCCTGCAGTACTGGCAGGTCCCCATAGACTGCCGGTACTGGCAGGTCCCATAGACTGCCCGCAGTACTGGTAGGTCCCTCATAGACTGCCTATACTTGCGCAGTACTGGTAGGTCCCCATAGACTGCCCTTCACCACTTGGTAGGTCCCCATAGACTGCCCGCGAGTACTGGTAGGTCCCCATAGACTGCCCGCAGTACTGGTAGGTCCCATAGACTGCCCATTGCTACTACGGGACCCATGGTAGGATCCACTTAACACCTGCCCGCAGTACTTATAGGTCCCCATGGACTGCCCGTAGCCTGGTGGTCTCTTTTTACTTCCCATTACTACTATCAGGACCCATGTAATCCCCATGTATGGGCACAATGTGTAACACCATTTCTGGTTTCCCCCAGTTGCTGGAATATTGCTAAAAGCGGCGAAAACCAAACTCACAGTCAGTCAGTCAGTCAGTACTCTCCACTGCCCCTATATACCAGAAGGTACTAGATATTGGTACACTATATATAAGTCTCTTGTAGACTGCATACAATAGTGGGAGGTCTACTGTAAACTATATATATATACTGAGAGAAACAAATAAAGGAACACAGGAATTTTCCAGTTTTCATCACCAGCTTTGAATAGTGCGGTGGAGGAATCTGAGAATAAATAAAGGAACACTGCCATGAAGTGGTGTTCCCTTATTTGTTTCCCTCAGTATATATATGTCAGAATGTTCTGTGAGTTAAATTCTATCTGTTCCATTATGATTATTGTACAAAGAATGGAAACGCTGTATGTATGTTAGTGAGTACCATCAGACTCCTTGTGCTGTTGTCCTGTATAGCTGAGTTCCTGTAAATACTTCCAGGTGGCTGCAGTGCCAGAGAGACTCGCTGGTACTTCGACTACCGACAACAGAAGTGTCTGGAGTTCATCTACACTGGTTGTGGCGGCAACAGTAACAACTTCGCCAACATCAACTCCTGCCAGGCGCGTTGCCTCATTGGTGCATGCTGCTACCGTGAACCCCTCTTTCCAGAGAGGATCATCGGCTACGACAGACAGGGATATGACAGGTCAGGGGATACCTGCTTCATAGGTTAAAAGAACTTTCAAAATGCCTATATGTTGAATGATGTTTGTTTGATGGGGATTATTTGCAGTGCTGTTCATGTGAAATTAGAATATACTTTCAACTTACTGTTTCAGATATGGCTTCAACATTGAGGGACTTGACCGAAGTGGGCGCCGACGGACAGTCAACAATGGCATTTTCACAGCCCGTGAAAGATATGACACTGAGGGTTTTGACTTCCAAGGTAGGAGAACCCATCATTGCAAGCAGGGATTATACTGTGATTCTATTACAGTTAGGACAGTGTCTCAGAGACGCATTATGTCATGTATAAATACATTGATTTCATTGATGTAGATGCAAGGATCTGTTTTGGAGTGAGTGAGTGAGTGATGTCAGGGTGGATCACCATAAATTGGCTTGACACATAGTAACCATGAGGTGACTTGATCCTAAACCTTCATCAACCTTTAACGAATAATGTGTGAAACGCATTTCTGGTGTCCCCCATTGTGATATTGTTGGAAGCTTAAAGCAGCATAAAACCATACTCACTCACTCGTAACGAATAAATGTTTTAACCACTAGGCTACCCAACTGCCATGTATCATTAAGTATTGCTGATTGAAGGTGTGGTGATGAAATACTATATGTCTGAAAATTAATTTTTTAGTTTGAATGTTGCATTTAGCAATTTTATTTGTATTATCTAGTTATTTGATTTTATTTCTTAAATTTGTTCAAAATATATCCATGTTATGAAACAGTATTTTCCCACTAAGACATTTTGTGTTGTCCAGGCTATGATCTCTATGGATATGACGATGAGGGCTATGACCGCCAAGGGTATGACAAGGATGGATTTGACAGGGAGGACTTCAACAGGACAGGGTACAGCCGCATCGGCGAGTACGACGGTATCATTGACTACAACATGGATGGTTACGACCCGGAAGGATTTAACAGGTGACAGAAAGTTTTGTCCTTGTTGTTAATGATTGTGTCAAAAATGAGTGAGTGGGTGAGTTTAGTTTTACGCTGCACTCGGCAATATTCCAGCTATATTGCATCGGTCTATAAATAATTTAGTCTGGGCCAGACAATCCAGTGATCAACAGCATAAGCATCAATCTACACAATTGGGATACAATGACATGTGTCAACCAAGTCAGCGAGCCTGACCACCCGATCCCTTTAGTCGCTTATTACGACAAGCATGGGTTACTGAAGATCAATTCTAACCTGGATCTTCACAGGTTATGTGTCAAGAATGATAAGTTCCACATTAACTTCATCCTGAATAAATATTGACACTGAAAAGGAATTGTGGAAATATTTCCTAATAAAAGCTGCAGGATGAACTACATCAGACGAATATGGTACAAAAATAACAGTTTCACTTTAGAAACACCTACTTTTTGACAACTGTGTTTCTGTGTGTCAAATAGCATTCACAAGCAGACATAATTGTCAAATATTACTCACAGAAAAACTATATAGGTGCACTTATTTTCAGTAATTCTCATTGTGCATTGTCATTTTGGCTTTGTGGTGTTTGGATAAATCATTCCAAGTGTTTCTATTGGTTGGAAAGCAGCCAATAGCAATGTGCCGTCACATCAACGTATTGTCACATTCAAGTTCATGATGTAATAGATTGTTTTGGATATGTTGTTTCAACGATAGCTGAATATATCCATGTCAGAAAACGGTGACTATTTATTCCAAAATATGGCTATGAGTAATGAACAGAATAACCTATCTACTTGTAGATAACAGATTGTCTGTCCTTCACGAAATAGTGTTAAGACTACCCTTAAACAATAATTCAATTGGGACGGATAATCCGTATTTGCTGGTTATTTTCTGTAATTTCACAGAGCCCATTTTGTTAAAGAAACTGCATATTAAACGGAAATTTTGCCAGAGTACTATACAGATGATCCAGACAGGCAATATTCACGGCAGCTTCATTTATTGATCAAACATCAAACATGTACATCAAACTACTTTGACATATTTCCATTGTAGGATTAGGGTTAATGAGAAAATTCTTTGTTGAGAATATCTTGGAATCCTTAATGAATGGGAACATATTAGTAACTGCAGTGAAACCTGTCTAAACCGGCACTCCATGGGCCCGAAATGAAATGCCGGTTTAGGCAGGGTGCCGGATTAGACAGTGACGATCATTTTCCACACATGGCTGCCATTTACACTCATCAATCTCTTTATCTCTATAATGCTGTGCGTGCCGAAAAGAATGTATTTGATTAAGGGACCTTGACTGGACCGCTCATACCCATGCCGGCTTAGAGCGTTTGATTCACCGTGCAAGCAATCACTACTTCCTGATTATCTTGCGTGCCAAGAGGATTAATTAGTGTATTGGATTATGGGTCCTTGATTGGACTGCTCATACCCATGCCGGTTTAGACAGTGTTAATTACAGTTAAAATTGCTTGTTGGGACTGGAAAGTCGTGCCGGAATACTGAATAGACAGGTGCCGGATTAGACAATGTTTTAATGATCATAATATCATTGTAAAATGGCGGGACCAAAATTTTATGCCGGTTTTGACAGTGTGCCGCATTAGACAGGTGCCGGTGTTGGCAGGTTTCACTGTATTTCCTTTTTGTTCCAGAGCTGGCTACAACTGTCATGGCTTTAACCGAGAGGGCCTGGACATCTACGGTGTGTCTGCTGGATTCATGTACAGCTGTCGGTCAATGACGCTTCAGAAGTGTCAGGCAACGGAGGCCCGCAAATGTTCAGGTGGTGCAGTTCACGCCAGGTAAACGCTGTGAGGAGGTGACCTGTGGGGAGACCTGCGGATGTATGTACAACAACCAGACCTACAAGCCAGGAGACATGTTCCGGTCCGGCTGTCAGACGTGTTCCTGCACGGAGAAGGGAGTGGTGGTCTGCGTGTGCGACACCCCTGTGAGGAGGAAGGAGGTGAGGGAACTGACCCGAGAGGAGCGGGAGAGATACCAGCTGGCCATCCGGAAACTGATGGTTCAGACTGGTCGTCCATCCAAGTGGCTCCGTCTAGCCCAGATGTATGCTTCACATCTACCGCAAGCTGTGGGCAATGATGCCTTCCTTCCGTGGCACCGCTACTATCTGTGGCATGTAGAGCAGTCCTTGCAGGACATTGACTGCAGGATAGCCATACCGTACTACGACTGGACAATAGATGCTGGAAAACCTGAGAGATCACTCATCTGGGGCGCTAACATGTTTGGCGGTAATGGCATGAATGCTTCCGACTGTGTCACATATCATCCTTTCAAGAACTACTTTCCTCCTTACTGGTCTCCATGTCTCAGACGTAGATTCGACACATCCATCAACTTGCCAGACCTTGTCAACGTCCAGCTGGCACTACGGGAACCATCCTTCCAGAAGTTCCGGCTTCGGATGGAGGTGTACACCAAACTATTCCAGACGTTTGTTGGAGGTCACATGAGCACGGCCATGAGTGCCTATGATCCAGTCTTCCTGTCTCTCGTGGCCTTCATCGACACTTTGTGGGACACATGGCAGCAAACACACAGCGATGGTTTACTCCGATACCCTCAAGGTCGTCGGTACCTTCCCATGATTCCCTTCAAGGTCACCCCAGACAATGTGATGGACCTCCGCATTCAGATGTGTGTTGAATACCTCCCCCTCACACAAGGGGCTCCATGTAATGAGACGGAAGTGCGTAACTATGGATATGATGTAAATGGATTTGATCGCCATGGCTACAGCAGAGCAGGATATGACGTAGATGGTTACGATGTACATGGTGTTAGTATAGACGGTAATCTTGATGATCGAGGGATATATGATATTCGTGGTTATAACAGACGTGGATATGGTCGCTCGGGGTATGATATGTCTGGCCTGGATGAGTTCGGTTTCTATGTTGACACATACAACATGGATGGCTTTGATGCGCTTGGATATGACCGATCAGGGTATGACAGATATGGTTTTAACAGAAGTGGATTAACGCCATTTGGCTTCCACAAAAATGCCTCCTACCTGGGCATGCAGGAGATCAATATGGATGCATTTGACTCCTATGGCTTCAACAAATATGGGTACGACAAGTACGGCTTTGATCGCGAAGGATATGACCGTTTTGGATTCGATTCAAAGGGCTATGACCGTCGGATATGCAACTTCTACAATCTGGGTCCTCTGGGCATTGTGGTCAGCCATTATGTCAGGAATAAGTTGAACAAATTCGACAACGAGACCCTCCGGGACATCAAGCGTATATGCCCACCAGTGACTTCACTACCAGACTGGCAGGTGACTAACAATTGGCTAGATCGAGGAGACCAGGTTCAGCTGATTGAGACGATAGAGAGATCGGATGCTCGCTCCCAGGAGCCTGGTGTTATAGTCAGGAACTACACTGTGGATAAGGACTTGATATGGGTGCCATTGCCACCTGATGAACAGTGAGTACAGTCTTGGTCATGAGAGCAGATTTGAGTGAGTGAGGATGGTTTTACACCACTTTTAGCAATATTCCAGCAATATCACAGTGGGAGACACCAGAAATGGGCTTCACACATTGTACCCATGTGGGGAATTGAACACTGGTCTTCAGTGTGACGAGTGGATGCTTTAACCACTAAGCTACGCCACCTCCCCTCAAAACTAATTTGAACTATTTTTAAAGTTTTTTTATGGCTAAAATAATAACATTATTTGTACATTTATTAAAATGATTTGTTGAGAACTCATTTAAATAATGCCTAGCTCTTTGTCAGTTAGGATATAAACATCATGTGTTGGCCAATTTCCGGGTGTTATTGACTATTTGAAGCAGGGGAATTCATTTGGAACTGACAGCCTTAGCCTGCATTGACCAACACATGATGTTTATCGACATTGTAAACACAAAAGTAAACCAAAAGGCCCACATGGGTTTTACTGTCTGCACTCATTGACATCGAGTACAGGTACAGCAGTGAAGTGTCATCAGCTGGCCGTTTTAGCTGGTTCCCATGGTAGCATCTTGAACTGCTCATTTGTGATGTCATTCCGACTTAACTTCACAATATGATTTGAATGACGTCACCACTGCTGACGATGAACAATACGTAGTGAATAGTCTTGCAATTTCCTGGAATCGAATACCATTTGATCATGTTTTTCAACCAATCAGATTAAAGAACATGGTGACTTTTGGTTTACAATGTTTCTTTAACTCACTACATGACCTACATTATCTCACCATTGAGACCTGACATATTTTACTTTTTAAATATACTGTTTGATTTTGCTTCATGAAAGGTCTGAAACATGTCAGTCAGTATTATTAATTGTGCAGTGTTTACTGAAGCGTCTCTTGTGAGAAGCTTCCAGGTGATGTTAAGCAAGAAAGTATCAGAAGGTCGTGACATACTATCATGATTCTGTTTTTCAAAATATCCACCTTGCTCTGTGTCTGAAAATGGCAAAGTGAGTGTGTGAGTTGGGTTTTATGCCGCTTTTAGCAATATTCCAGCAATATCACGGCGGGGATGCCAGAAATGGGCTTCACACATTGTACCCATGTGGGGAATTGAACTTTGGTCTTTGGCTTGACAAGCCAACACTTTAACCACTAGGCTATCCCACTGCCCCAAAAATGGCAAAGAAAACAGAACCTTGACCAAGGCCTATCACCTTCTCTTATCCACAACCACCCACCCAGAGACTCCCACCCTCGCTGTTACAGATTGTGCCTGGTGACCCATGTGTACAATGACTGCCCCCTAGACAACCCTGCCGTCCTGTGCCCAGATGACCTCTGTGAGGCGCGTAATTGTCCAGGTAGGATATCACGAATATCGTGCAACCACCTTCACAAGGGCAACCTGCTGCCCTAGGGCAACCATAAAGAACATAACACTTATTCTGTCTTAAATATAGTACTAAAGGACTTCAAGAACGCCTGATATTTACACATGACTATAGCTCATGTGTCTCGGACATGACACACAAGGTGGTATGTATAGTAGGGGTGGGTATTGCACAGAATTTTCATATTGCGATATATTGCGATGCAAAAGCATATATTGCGATATGTATTGCAATATATTGTAAGAAGTATTTTTTAACAAAAAAACTACGTATAATCGAGTTAATGGTTGATTTATAAAGCATGAACACAACAAAATCACTATGCTTGATTAAGCTTTAATAAAAACTTTTAATCATGACAAAATAATAATGTAAATAATATTTAGCATAAATGAAACAAGGAAATATCTGAAGATTTCCGAGTGTTTGTTTTCCGAATGCAAGTCAAAATACCGGTTTTCAATCAGCGTATCGCAATACGTATCGTTTTCATGTCTGAACCGGTAAGCCAGTTATATTGCGCAGCCCTAATATATAGTCACATGAAAGAATTAAGTGATGTTAACTTCTTTGGAGAAGAATGGATCTTTAGCTATAAGATTCAGGGCAGAATCTTTGGTTATAGTTTATAGTTTTCCAGTTGACTGATCTTTGCTTTAAGAATGGGACAAAATATACAAAGGACAAGACTTCAAATATTATGTTGCTCTTTAGGTGGTTATCTGAATTTGTCGATGTGTGGGCTATGTTAAGCTTTCCATGTCTCTTTTACAGTTCAGTATATTGTATACACACTAGCCATAGAGAACATGTAAATTTGTATAAAGGGTAATGGTAAGACCTTACCTTCCATAATGTATTTTGTACAAATCAGTTTGATTTGGGTAGATATGGCCTCATTCCACTATGCGATCTTAACAATATGGGTCTTTTAAGCCTCTGTTGAACTATGAGATATGTAATCTAAAACCATTTTGTTTGGAAAAGGGATGCATTGCATTCTCGGTGTGAATGATTGAGTAATTTCTCATGTTTGTTATGTATGTCTGTTTCCTCACAGCCCACCCGACAGCCGTTTGTAGGACAAGCAGTTGTGGTTACTGTCATCATGAGTGGTACGATGGTGTCACCGGCAACATGCTCAACTGTTCTGGTGGGTAGCTCTCCTCTTTATGGCTTTCTAGCTTTCTGGTTTGACATTTTGTAAATTGGACATGATTAGCTTTATATTCTATGCAAAATAATTTAAAGAACACTCAAATTTTTGTTTGACAGTAGTAAATCTGTCTGGCTTGTTGGTATAGCAACAACCTTATAACTGTGGTGTATACTGTACTGTAAGCTCAATAATGCAGCACAAGCCACACTCATTGTATTATCAAGGAAACAGCAGTTTCTCATTGGGTCTAGCTTAATTGTTTTTAGCTTTATGGAAATGCACATACATTGCTAGGTTAGGCCATCAAATGCCCTGGAATCACTCACAGGCTTTCTATTTACATGTGTTCATGATATGGCTGGAATGTTGATGGACAAATATAGCATTGTGTGTGTTTAATTGGTACAGGCTGCTATGATGAGGATATCCGTGGACGACGTGAGGGTGAAACTTGGAGTAATGGCAGGTGTCAGATCTGTATCTGTCTGGTGAGAACAATGGTTTCACATCCGTTTTGTGTCATGAGAACAATGGGGTCACATATGTGTATGTGTCAGATGAGAGCAATGAGGTCAGATGTGTGTGTGTCAGATGAGAACAATGGGGTCAGATGTGTGTGTGTGTGTCAGATGAGAACAATGGGGTCAGATCTGTGTGTGTGTGTCAGATGAGAACAGTGGGGTCAGATGTGTGTGTGTGTGTCAGATGAGAACAATGGGGTCAGATGTGTGTGTGTGTCAGATGAGAACAATGGGGTCAGATGTGTGTGTGTGTGTCAGATGAGAACAATGGGGTCACATATGTGTATGTGTCAGATGAGAACAATGGGGTCAGAAGTGTGTCAGATGAGAACAATGGGGTCAGATGTGTGTGTGTGTGTGTGTCAGATGAGAACGATGGGGTCAGATGTGTGTGTGTGTGTCAGATGAGAACGATGGGGTCAGATGTGTCTGTGTGTCAGATGAGAACAATGAGGTCAGATATGTGTGTGTGTGTGTCAGATGAGAACAATGGGGTCAGATGTGTGTGTGTGTCAGATGAGAACAGTGGGGTCAGATGTATGTGTGTGTGTGTGTCATGAGAACAATGGGGTCAGATGTGTGTGTGTGTCAGATGAGAACAATGGGGTCAGATGTGTGTGTGTGTGTGTCAGATGAGAACAATCGGGTTAGATGTGTGTGCTTGTGTCAGATGAGAACAATGGGGTCAGATGTGTGTGTGAGAGATATATGAGAACAATGGAGTCAGATCTGTGTGTGTGTGTCAGATGAGAACAATGGGGTCAGTTGTGTGTGTGTGTGTGTCAGATGAGAACAATGGGGTCAGATGTGTGTGTCAGAAGCAAACAATGGGGTCAGATGTGTATGTGTGTATCAGATGAGGACAATGGGGTCAGATGTGTGTGCTTGTGTCAGATGAGAACAATGGGGTCAGATGTGTGTGTGAGAGATATGAGAACAATGGGGTCAGATGTGTGTGTGTGTCAGATGAGAACAATGGGGTCAGATGTGTGTCAGTGTGTGTGTGTCAGATGAGAACAATGGGGTCAGATGTGTGCGTGTGTCAGATGAGAACAATGGGGTCAGATGTGTGTGTGTGTGTCAGATGAGAACAATGGGGTCAGATGTGTGTGTGTGTCAGATGAGAACTATGGGGTCAGATGTGTGTGTTTGAGGTGAGGACAGTCAGGGTAAGTATGTGTAGTGTGAATGCCATTTGAAAACAATTTGGTCAGATGTGCATGTCAAATCAGGACAATGTGTTATGTACCAACATATCAGGTGTGTCTAGTCTTAAAAATGGTTTCATGTCCGTGTAGTGGCAACAGTGGGGTCAGATGTGTGTGATGTGTGTAGAAGGGTGTCAGGTGTGTATACTGAGAACAGGTGGCTCTGATGTGTGTATGTATGTGTTTTTATCTGTTTCTCTCTGATGGGTCAGTAGATCAATGCTCTTGCTGTTGTTCACTGGATTGTCTGGTCCAAACTCAATTATTAAAACTAAACTCACTTACTCACTCACTGATGGGTCCCAGATGGGACTTAACTCAAAACAAGTACTGGAATCTCTTCTCTATTCAGAAAATTTAATCCTTAATATAACATAGGTTGTAAGATCCTCCTCTATTGAAATATGGTGTTTCAGGAAGGACTGATTGAGTGTACACCCAAGGAGTGTCCGCCCGCCACATGCCAGCATCCCATCACCATGACAGATGCTTGCTGCCTATCGTGTGAAGGTAGGTATTGCACTCTCTGTGAATTGGTTTGTAATAACTGATGCAATATTTGTACTCAGTGAAGGTTATATGCTTTCCATAAGTTTCAAAGGATGTGTTCTCAGTGAAGGTGTTTTGTTCTCAGTGAAAGTGTTTTATGTTCAGTGAAGGTGTTTTATATTCAGTACAGGTGTTTTCTTCTCAGCGAAGGTGTTTTACATTCAGTGAAGGTGTTTTGTTCTCAGTGAACGTGTTTTGTTCTCAGTGAAGGTCTTTTATGTTCAGTGAAGGTGTTTTGTTCTCAGTGAAGGTGTTTTATGTTCAGTGAAGGTGTTTTATGTTCAGTGAAGGGGTTTTACATTCAGTGAAGGTGTCTTATGTTCAGTGAATGTGTTTTGTTCTCAGTGAAGGTGTTTTATGTTCAGTGAAGGTGTTTTACATTCAGTGAAGGTGTTTTATGTTCAGTTAAGGTGTTTTGTTCTCAGTGAAGGTGTTTTATTCTCAGTGAAGGTGATGTCCTCAGTAATTCTTTTTTGTTCTCACTGAAGATATTGTTTCCTTGATGAAGATGTTTACAGTGAATCTCTTGTTCTCAGTGAAGGTGTTTTACATTCAGTGAAGGTCTTTTGTTCTCAGTGAAGGTGTTTTATGTTCAGTGAAGGTGTTTTGTTCTCAGTGAAGGTGTTTTATGTTCAGTGAAGGTGTTTTATGTTCAGTGAAGGTGTTTTGTTCTCATTGAAGGTGTTTTATGTTCAGTGAAGGTGTTTTATGTTCAGTGAAGGTGTTTTGTTCTCAGTGAAGGTGTTTTATTCTCAGTGAAGGTGATGTCCTCAGTAATTCTTTTTTGTTCTCACTGAAGATATTGTTTCCTTGATGAAGATGTTTACAGTGAATCTTTTGTTCTCAGTGAAGGGTTTTATATTCCGTGAATGTGTTTTGTTCTCAGTGAACGTGTTTTAAAGATTTTGTGAAGTTTTGTTGTAGGATATGTGTACACAACTCTCAAGTTCTTAAAACCCCCCAGGAAATATGTCTTCAGCAAAATGTTAAAACATTCCCCAAATATACAGGTTTGAATACCCAATGCCAACATAAGATTGTTGATAACAGTGTTTGAAGCCCATGTTGTTTCTACCTGTACCATGCCGATTGCAGCTGGTTGCAGCTTCAAGGATGGCAAGTACCTGACAGGGACCCGCTTCCCGGATCCAGAAGATGCCTGTGTCAGTTGTGTATGTGAAAAGGGCAACGTGAGCTGCACCGTGGCCAGCTGTCCGAACCTGGGAGACTGTCAGAGTCCCACCCAGCTGGAGGGGGAGTGTTGTCCTGTGTGTCTTGACTGCGGAGCTCACGCTAATGCAACCAAGTGGTACCCAAGCCGATGTCAGGAGTGCTCCTGTGTGGTAAGTGCTGGCTTTTTAAAGTTTTATTTATCTTTATGGAATTGACTGAGTGTCGACATGACACATAAAATATGTATATATGTATATTGTTCAGTTTTAACTATTTAAAAGACCACACAAAACATTGCATATATTGTAATAATGAAGTTGTATATCCACAGAGCTATCTCCCTTGTTGAAAATGTAACTGTTTATCAAAGCATTCTCTGATAGAAGTAGATACTTTCAGTGCTTCTGTGAAAGTATCTGCTATGACTGTGAAAATATTCATTATCTTTTCATTATTTTATTTCACTACCGTATGTATAACCTTCTTCTGGGACCTATAGCAAGACAGTTGCCTCCCTTTCAGAATGGTGAGGTGTCTTGTCAGCGAGTGAAGTGTACTGATGTAGAATGTCTGTTCCCTTACACCCCTGATGGTTCCTGCTGTCCAGTTTGTGTGGGTAAGGCATCACTTTCATACACTGCGGTATGTCAAACTTATGTACGAGATTTAATTACAAGTCTGTGATTGGGTACTCCATGGTGATGACCTGAGGTCAGATTAGGGACAGTTTATAAATTACAGCAAGCGGGGTTGATGATGATTTTTATGCAGAAGCATGTACAATGTGATTGACACACCACACACGCACGCACACGCACGCATATCGCATACGCGACCTGCGCACACGACACCCCTTGATCGTTTATAATGGACATGTTCCTGTGGAGGGTACCTAAGAGTTGCATCCCTTTGTTCTGACAGAATCTTGTGATCTCACATTTGAATTCCAGATTTGCCCCCTTGTAAATCTCTACAAGAACAATTTGCTAGAAAAGCCTTTTACTGTAAGTGTCTGTCACTAGAAGGATCTGTCACTATAAAGATCTGTTGCTATAAAGGATCTGTTGCTATAAGGATCTGTCATGCTGTCACTATAAAGATCTGTTACTAGATCTTTTTAGGATCTGTTACTAGTAGGATCTGTCACTAGAAGGATCTGTCAAAGAATCTGTCACTATAAAGACACTCATCTGTTACTAGTAGGATCTGTCACTTAGGATATGTTAGAGTCGATCTGTTACTGCTAGAAAAAGGATGCTTTTTCTCACTATAAAAGATATTATATTTAAAATTCAGAGGTATTTCATTATTAAATAACAAATCATCTACCTAATGTAGGCCGAGGGAATAAATTTTGAGACATGCTCTAAAATGTGTTTTTACTGATTGATGAAAATACCAAAACTTAGAAAAATAAGGGTAGTGGGGCGTTATTTGATACAAACATTAACTGCCTGTGTTACGTCATTAGCATGCCACGGTATCGACGGGTCAAATTGACACCTGAGCTTAAGAACCGTTCTCAATAGATGTCTTTGCAAAATGTTGAACCTAGGTTCATCATAGTATAAGAAAGGTCTAAGTAAGGATCACCTTTGTGTATGTGTGTTTGTTTTGACTTTCATAAGCATACCTAATTACTGTAGATGATCTCAAGAACCGTTCACTGGATGTTATCTTATCGATTGATTGTAGAAATGTGCAGCTTTTAATAAATGTTTTGCATGTCAACAGTATATTTCATTGAAAAAAATATGGATGTAATTTGGTCAGTTTAATTTAGTTGTGAACATTGGCCAAAGATTTAGCAAAGACTGGTGTAGCATCTTCGAATATATATATATTCTTCTTCTCATAAAGTTTGGTAGACAGCCCGTCTAAGCACTCCCTTGTCAAAGTTGTCAAGGATGGTTTTATCGTCAGTAAGTGTTGCTTTTGAGAGCGGTCCCTGTCTTGTCTGATTTGTTTACAATATTGTAAACTTGTTGGTAAGACATACCAACAGCTCTACAAGATTCTGTAATAAACCCTTTCTAAACTAATGAAAGGTTTACCTCTGTCTTTTCAAGCAGAAACAAATTATAAACCTTTGCAACAATCTATTACAAATGGGTTGGCCATAGTGGACGCTGTGATAAAGATGTGCATGCATATGCATGACGGGAAACTTATTTATCAAGACTTAACATTTATATTAATTTTTCTTTAATAAAGAAACGATAATTAAGTAAAGTAACACAAACATTCAACGTTTATTTTGTTTAGGAAAAACATTAATTCATATTTTTACACCACCTGTATTATTAGCATAAATGTAAAGACTATTTCAGATTTCTGTTGTTGAACTCTGAAAAAATCTTAAGTTGCTCTTTTGGTACCAAATTCTCTCCTGTAAACTGCCCTTTGAATGCATGGGAATGTTAAACGATTGAAATAAAAAATAGGTACACTATAGGCGAGTTGATATATTGACAACATAGTACATTTATCACCTTTATAAAGATATTACGGCTAAAAAGCATTTTTCTAGCATTTCCGACAGTACTTTAGTAGGATCTGTCACTAGTAGGATCTGTTACTAGTAGGATCTGTCACTAGTAAGATCTGTCACCATAAAGATCTGTTACTATTAGAATCTGTCATTAGAAGGATCTGTCACTAGAAGGATCTGTAACTGGAAGGTCATGTAAGGTATTTTCAGCCTTATAAAGCTGACATGTCGCGAAATACATCCATTCACCCAGAGGCAGTTAATATCAGAGTCCACCAAGACAATCTGTAGGTGGTGACAATGAGTGTGTTGTACTAGTACCATCTTTGTTATTTGTTTGGGGCCATAGTTAATAACATTCTGACACTCATCATTATGGTGCATTTAAAGAGGCCAGATTTGATTTTCTTATTTCATTATTTCTTATTTCTTGGGTACAGTAGTACCTTTTCTTCATGGTGTTGGTCAAGATGTTCTGTATATTTTCCAGACTGGGCCAGTAAGTGTTGTTTATGTTCCTTACATGATATTTTGTAGCCTGTTTCTATGAGGGTGCTATCTACCAAGATGGAGAGAAGTTCAATCCTGATGCCTGTCAGACATGTGGTTGTCACCGTGGAAACATTATCTGTGATGTCAAGGACTGCCCGGCAACCAACTGTCCTGCTCCAGTTACTCCGGCCAATCAGTGCTGTGCTGTTTGTGATAGTGGTTAGTTATTACCCTTGCCTGTGTACAGGATCCGCATCTGTATGTGCTTCTTATCACAAGGGTCTTTAGCAACTAAATCTGACTTTTTGATAAGGGTATAGAACCTATTGGGTCATTACTACTGAATCTGTTATCTGTTACAACGCGTTGTATTGCTAAATAGTTAAAAGCAACAACCAGAGTCTGTAAATCCTAGGGATCGTTGCTACAAAGATCTGTTACTAGAAGGTTCTATCGCATATAATGTCTGCTACTTCAAAGGTCTGATACGAGAATTATCTGTTACTGCAGTAGTCTATGAGAAGAAGTGTACTTCGATCCACTCTCTTACTACATATTAGTGTTGGGAATTGGTTGAAATCTCACAATTGATGATTCAGCGTCATTTTTTAGATTTTCCTATTCAGGTTGTAGTTGCAGATAAGTATAAAGAAAAACATTTGGTTCTCTGTTGTTGTTTTTTGAAACTGCACAAATTACATTTTCAAATTTCACATCCAGTGTAAAATGATTCAGTTCCAGTGTAACATAAACTTCCCAGATTCTTCAAGAAATATTCAGTCATGCCTTTTCAGAAAGCGAAGTGAGTTTTCTTAGAAATAAACGCGTTTTCAGGCCCTGACAACGTCCTAGATATGTTCCATCATCAAGTATTTCAAACTCTATTACAGCGGTTCAAAAATCGTTTGTGTTCAATTATGAGAAAATGTGATCGATTGCTTGGTCGTTTGTGCCACTGCGACCAATCGATTATTTCAATTAATCGGAACACCACTACTACACTTTCAGATTGTGAGTATGAGGGTTCTGCTTATAAGCACAGGACGACCTTCACCCCATCGTACAACCCCTGTCTCCAGTGTTCCTGTGACAACTCCATCGTCAGGTGTAACTCCATCTCCTGCGCACCACACAACCTTCCATGTCAACGTCCACTCATCGCCCCCGGAGAATGCTGTCCATCTAGGTGTCCTCGTATGTATCAGGTTCTCTTGTCCCATAGTGAAAACAAGATTTGCTGATAATTAACAGTGAATAAATATTAACGTTTTAATGGTGCCATGTCAATGATATTGTCTCACCCCACTTGGTTTCTGGGTCTTCATTGACCTTTGCTGGTCAAGAAGTGGCATAATGCGTCAAGGACGCTTTGATCATTCAGATGAAAAGTCATTTTGACGTGACTTGTAATGGGATTTCCTCAGTTAATGGCCATTATTCCTAATTAATACTAACTAATTTAATATAATTGAATGCCATGCTGATAAATATTTTGGACAAACTAGAGATTGATGTTATGAGCAGTGTCCATGTGCAAACAGACAAAGACCTATCATGGAAGACAACTGGTTATAAAGATTAATTTGCTGTCTTGGTCTGTTTCTAGAGTGCAGCCATGAAGGTTCTCAGTACAATGATGGAGAGACCTGGTCTCCAGCTGGCATCCTGTGTCAGGTGTGTCATTGTCGTAACGGCATCGTCACGTGTCGCACCCGTGAAACCTGTGCCTTGGAGTGTACCCACGGTCTAGTGAGGGATGGAGCTTGCTGCTCTGCCTGTACAGGTAGGAGTCATGTGACACATGAGTAGGCGTCACATGACATCATGTGGGGGATGAGGGCTGGTTGAGGACACATGAGGGTTAGGTCACAGGACCTCTTTTAGGGGTCAGGACTTGGTAATAATAATAATAATATTAATAATAAATAATAATGGCACTTATATTGCGCTATATCCACGCCATGAAGGTATGCTCAAAGCGCATTGCCTCAAACGATGGAAACAGAGGCAGTTGAGTTCTCCACAGTGGTATGAGTTATGTATCTTTTAGGTATAGTGCTTGAAAAGGTAGGATTTAAGACTGGATTTAAAAGTTTCAAAAGATGGAATCAACTTCAGTGATTTGGGTAGAGAGTTCCACAGAGTAGCGGCTGAGACAGAAAAGGTGTGTGTGTTAACTGGTGTGTTAAGGTAGACGGTATGTATGCCGTCTGTTTATGTACTGTTTGATGTCATCTATTTTCAGACTGCATGTATGACAGCAATAGCAGACCGTATACATGACACCTATTGATGGACTATGTGATGGCATCTATTTTCAGACTGCATGTATGACATCAATAGCAGACCGTATACATGACACCTATTGATGGACTATGTGATGTCATCTATTTTCAGACTGCATGTATGACATCAATAACAGACCGTATACATGACATCTATTGATGGACTATGTGATGTCATCTATTTTCAGACTGCATGTATGACATCTATAGCAGACCATATACATGACATCTATTGATGGACTATGTGATGGCATCTATTTTCAGACTGCATGTATGACATCTGTAGCAGACCGTATACATGACATCTATTTATGGACTATGTGATGTCATCTATTTTCAGACTGCATGTATGACAGCAGAATAATCCAGGATGGAGAGACGTTTGTGAGGAATGGGTCGCCATGCCAACAGTGTCAGTGTAAAGAGGGGAACATAGAGTGTCAACTCGGAGGGCTTTGTCCCCTGCTGCCCTGCAAGAAGACTGAGACACCACAGGACCAGTGCTGCCCTCGCTGTGCAGGTCAGTAGATCATGTGACCTTGTCATGAAATAATGAAAGCATCAGGTGGCCATTGTAATGGTAGTGACTCCTGTAAGCATTCAAATTGGATAGGATCCTGGTTATCTGGTAAAATGTTCCTGTCACACCCAACATAAGTGCATGAGATACTGCAAGTAAGATGCTGCTGTTTATATAAGACATCCAGGAGTAGGAGTTATATTTAGGGTGAAATATATTTAGTGACAGGATTCTTACATTGTTACTGGTCCTGACTCCTACGACCGCCTCCGTGGTGTAGTGGTTAGAGCGCGTCCGCCCGGAGAGTGGAAGGTCGCGGGTTCGATCCCCGACCTCGTCATACCAAAAGACGTTAAAATATGGTACTTGTTGGTCCCTGCCTGGCGCTCGGCATTAATGGGTACAACAAGGACTGGTCGGCTCGGAGTCAGTATAATGTGTCTGAGTGGGGTATTCATGCTTCACTGCGGCGTGGTATCTCAGTGGGCTAGCACTATAAAACCAGCTTCAGTCTGGGCTAGTACAAGCAACCGCACATACACATACACATACATGCACGTCGTCATATGAGCGAAATATTCTCAAGCACGACGTTAAACCCAATTTCACCTCATCTCACCTGACTCCTAGACATGGCCAAGGTATTTGTGCATCAGTAGGTCTTATAGTTGTGTAGTACTGGTACCAACAGTAAACCCAACAGCGACCCCAACAGTGACCCACAACAGCATCAGAGTCACAGTGATTGAGGAATTCTCCTTTCTGATGAAAGCTATTATCTGTCTGTGCTCATGACTGTGTAATGGCTGAGGCATTCTTCATGGTTTCAGAGTGCACATATGAAGGGCGGACCTATCGCTATGGGGAAATGATCACGAAGGACAAGTGCTCTCACTGCGTGTGTCGTGAAGGTCAGTATTTGATTCGGGTCGGTGGGGTAGCCTAGTGGTTAAAGCGTTGGCTCGTCACGCCGAAGGCCCGGGTTCGATTCCCCACATGGGCACAATGTGTTAAGCCCATTTCTGGTGTCCCCCGCCGTGATATTGCTGGAATATTGCTAAAAGCAGCGTAAATCTAAACTCAGTCAGTCAGTCAGTATTTGATTCAATTAAGTAAATATTATTTTTTTAATTTGCTGCTTCAGTTTGCAAAAATCTTGCACGAAAAACTACTGAAAATAAGTATATTATTTCCTACACTTGCAATCATGGTGTATAAAACCTGACTCTCTCCTTGTTGTAGGCCAGGTGACGTGTGATCGAGTCCCATGCCCCCAGTTGCGGTGTTCGGACCCACAGACAGTTCCAGGAGCGTGCTGTCCTGTCTGCTCCAGATGTGAATACTTCTCCAAGTTCTATGAAGATGGACAGACATTTGTCTCACCTCGAGATCCTTGCGAGTCTTGCCTGTGCAAAGTAAGTTGGGTTCTTGTGTGAGCAAAGTAAGGTGATGATCCCATTCTTGCAACTTTGATTAAGTGAAATTCTGCCTACGTGAATTGATGTCACATCCTTTTCAGGGCCTGCACTGGCGGACCCAGAGAGGGGAGAGGGTGGTTCAGTCCCCCAAAATGACTAAAGACCTCTTTGACGATTTTTTGTTGCATTGGCGGAGCCCCCCCCCCTGTATGTTCTAAATATGTGAGATTAACATCGTTGTTACATCTTTTCAAGTTCCACTCACACACTAAAAGTAACAGAAATGTTATCTTCCCATATTGAGGATGATACGACTGAAGCTCTAGTATATATGTGGTGCTGTCATTGTGTAGGATGGGCAGGTGGCGTGCCGCAGCATCAAGTCGGACTGTCCGGCCGTGCAGTGTACACATCCTGGGTCTGTACGCAACCAGTGCTGCCGACAGTGTGACAACTGTATGTACCTACGTCGCATGTTCCGTAACGGCCAGAAGTTCACGCCCCCTGGTGGGGACCAGTGTCAAACCTGTGTATGCAGGGTAAGTTTCACATGTCTGTGTGTCTGAGTCTTGGGGTTTGCTGATTGTAACTAAAGAATTGAATTTGAATTCCAAATTGTGCCTCAAACTCCATCCACAATTAGTACTATAGGCATAAATTATCACTTCTGATCTCTCTCCTAAGCTTTTACCATATCTTAGTGTTAAATGTGACCTGGTTGTTTGTGGTCAGGCAAGTTCTCCCATGTCTCAAGTGTGTTTGTATGTCAAGCAAACGTTTCTTAGGAATTTGTTTGTGGAGAATAGTACTTGATGACATGTATTGTTCAAAACAGTGAACAAATGATGATGATGATGATGATGATGATGATGATGATGATGATGATGATGATGATGATGATGATGATGATGATGGTGATGCTGCTGCTGCTGCTGATGATGATCAAACGTTTCGTAGGAATTTGTTTCTTTGGAATTTGTTTGTGGAGAATAGTACTTGATGACATGTATTGTTCAAAACAGTGAACAAATGATGATGATGATGATGATGATGATGATGATGATGATGGTGGTGATGATGATGATGCAAAATTGTCATTGATTAAAAGATATTTTTGCCAGAATTCTATGATAAAGGGTTCAGATTCCAAAAATTTGTCATGATTTGCTTCAAACTTTGTCACTACCATATCTGTGCACATGGATTTCACCTGTGGTAAACAGGTAAACATCTGAGATATGTGAAACAATGGCCAAGGCAATGTGAAAGTCCCTCACTCACTCAGAGGGAAGTGTTTGCAGTGTTACATCATGTTGTTGATCGTGTGGTGTTGCAGGATGGGAGCGTGACGTGCAACAAGCTGGAATGTCCAGAGCTCAACTGCCTCAACTCGTACACCCCTACAGGCCATTGTTGCCCGATTTGTCGCATGTCCTGTGAGTATGGAGGCCGAGAGTATCGGGAGGGTCAGACATTCCCCAACCCCCGGGACGAGTGTTCAGTGTGCACCTGTAGGGTGAGTAAACAACAGTTGCATATGTATTTAATCGTGTGATATATAGCATCCTTCTTATTTGAAAAGAAAGCTTGTGTTTCCACAGAAATCCCTACATCCTTGAGAACAGAGTTTTTATGGTTTCTGTACATATCTTTTTCCCATTTTAACTTAATAACCACATATATTAGTAGTTTGTCCCATGTATTCCATTAGAGCTGTTAAAGTGGTGGCAGGTCACTAGATATTTTACAGGTGCTTCATTGAATTGCTGCCACTAACAATGCCTGCAACAATGTCTATAATGACATTACAGTGTCACTAATATAACTGCATGGGTATATTTTAAGAAAGGGAGAATAGATTTTGCATCTGGAAGGAATATATAGGATGGGAGATTTAGGGAATGTCCAAATATTTTTCACAAGTGTTGATCTAAATGATTGTGGTTTTCAAAGATTCTTGGAGGGAATCGATGGAATGGGAGATTTAGTCAGTCAGAATGTTGGCAAAATATTTTGTAATTACAAGTTTGATAAAGGTTGAATGATGGTAATATCTATTAATGTGTCCCATACCAAAAACTGATCTCATCTTTTCCAGGACAGTCGTGTAGACTGTGCGAAGCGCAAGTGTCCATCGTCCATGTGCCTGAGCCCTGCCACTCTGCCCGGGGACTGCTGTCCCAGCTGTGAGTTCTGCCTGTATGACCGCCGCATCTTCCTCAACCATCAGCACTTCATCCACCCCAGCAACCTGTGTGAGGAGTGTGTGTGCAACGTGAGTCTACTGGTTACTTATTTACTGGCTCCTCTTAGGACATGCTTACAATACATCACTGGTCGCAGGAGGCAAGATGGTTGGGTGACTTGTTTTTATTTAAGTAAAGGAGAATATATTTTACATTTGGAAAGAATGGCTATCCACCTGAAGAAGGGGCAAGAATTAGCCCAGAAACGTTGTAAAAAAATAAATCAAGAAGTTGTTATCCATAGGATTTGTCTTATAATGATGGAAGGATTGGAGATTTTTGCAGATGTCCAAATGTTTTGTTTTTATGTTTTGTTTACAAAAAGAATTGTTTGTATTTTAGTATGCAAACTTTCATTTAGCTAATCACAATGACATGTTTCTGTCGATTATTTTAGAATGGATAATGAAATTTTGTGTTAAATACTTTTGAAATGATGCTTAATTATTTGATGGCACTGGAGTCAGTATATTATCCAGAGTATTGTATTTATTGTAAGGAGAGTTATGATATTGATTTCGTTTTCTGACAGAGTGGGTCTGTGATGTGTACAATGATAGACTGCCCCAAGCCCCCGTGTGACAACCCAATGCCCATGGCGGGACAATGCTGTTTTGTGTGCCCCAAGAGCTGCACGTACCAGGGTCTATCCTACGAGGATGGACAGACGTTCCGCAGTCCACGAAACAAGTGTGAAGAGTGTCTGTGTCGTCAAGGTCGTGTCCAATGTCAGCGTGACTCGTGTGCACGAGTGTCATGCCGACATCCAGCGGAGGAGGGTTGTTGTCGTGTGTGCAACAGTAAGTGGGGGAGACTACACTCAGTTTACAATCTGTTACTGGGTAAAGTGGAGGAATAATATATCTTTGAAAATAAACTTTAGTTTCTTTGAGTTTTCGTAAAGTGTTCTGGCTTTCTTAGGAATTCATTCATGGAGAATAATATGTATGGTATGTATTGACCATATTTGATATGCAACTGAGGTCGCAACCCCAAGTTTACCCAGCGTATCAGTCTGTTACGAGAAATACCCAGGACAGATTTACCACATTAGCCTATTTTTGAGGCTGCTTTTAAACTACCGAAGTTAAATGTGCACTGTTCTTTCAACTCTCAATCTGCACACTGTGTACTATGGACAGAGTATATGAAACCATTTCTCCATGCTTGTCCCAATCCAGTTAATGTTGGGACCAGATGGTTTCAGTGTGTGAGTTTGTTGATTGTATTTTTTTGTCTCCAAATGCCCTGGATTTCACCTGACATTTGATGTTTGATACTACCAAATAGTATGTTCAAGGCACCACAATTTTAATATTGTTGACAACTTAAAAAGAACAGATTCTTGTTTTTGCAGTTCCAAGTTTCTTCAAAGAAAGCAGCCATATTGTAGAAAATGAAACATTATGAGCCATTCATAGTTTTGATAATTTCCTCAGAAACCATTGAAGCTGAAATACACATACAGTACTTATTTCGACCAATGAAGACACCCAAATGTGCAAGCGGTTCAACTTTTTAAAATAATATTCATGACCAGTACACTGTCATTTTTTTTCAGAATATACTGAAATTGGTATGTTTTAGTCATTTGTGGGGTCCATCACATATACAAACACTGTTCTGTTGAAACTGACGTCACAACTGAAAAATCATAAATAAAATAAACTGTATGTTTGATACATCAAACAAAGGTGTTTGACTTCTGTTTTACATGATATTAAATGTTTTTCTTTGCAAGCTTGTAAATGTTTTTGAACAGAGTCATCATCTTCACAGAAAAACTGAACAATTGAAGTGGAAACATCACATGATTGTTTCCAACAATGATGACACCTTAATTTGTTTAAGAATCCAGTTGGAAAATCAGTGGAATGGTCTAAAAAAATATAATATAGTTAGTTCATGTATAGTGAGTTGAGTTAGAAGTGAGATTTGACTTAATTGTTCTAGAATTTTAATTCTTGTCCTTGTTTGACCTGTTATTATATTCTCTGTAAGTATATTTGCACCTGATTTCATGATTAGAATATAGTGTTAGATCAGTGTATGAAATAAGGCCCGTCCGACAGCCCGAGACGGGCAAGATTTCTGATGGATGGTCTAAATTTACAGCTAGCCAGCCCGATGGACGGGTGAAAAAAACCATTCCGATAACATGCCCACTTGCACTGACTGGTTAAATCTCTTCCGGGCTGGTAAGTTTTAGAAGTTACCGGCCCAGATGTCTGGCTGGGTTTTTGGCTTATTTCATACACTGGTTAGATGTGATGAATTTATCAAGAAAATATAGACGTTTGTTAAGTATCAGTCTTAAACTGTTGACATTTTAATCAGTTGACTGCATATCCAGGTAAGCTATTAATTTTCAACCACTGATATTCTTGTTCCAGACTTGAATATGTAAAGGTTAGTCTGATATAGCTGGAATTAACTCAACATTAAATCACCTACTCATCTGCTAGGCATCAATCAGTACTTCTTTATGTTTCAATTTCCTGTTCCATAATGTCCGCTGACAGTTGGAATATTTTAACAATTTCAGATTGTTTCTTCAAAAATCAGTTATGGCGCAATGGGCAGAAGTTCCCAGACCCTCAAGACGAGTGTTCAAAATGTCGATGTCAAAATGGAGAAGTGTCTTGCCAACGTCAGCAGTGTCCGCCGGTATCATGTCGAAACCCTGTTATTGAGAACTGCTGTCCTGTTTGTAGGGAGTGTGAGTACCAAGGGCGGAGAATCGGCAGTGGTCAGACATTCACCCGTGTTGGTGGGAGCTGTGAGACATGTGTCTGTGTAGAGGGAAACGTGGAGTGCCAGCGGAAGATGTGCCAGGAGGTAACATGCCAACACCCAATCGAACGTGACTGTTGTAAAGAGTGTACAGACTGTTTCTACCACGGCCGGCCCTTTAACAATGGGCAGTCATTCCCAGACACCCAGGATCGGTGCAAGGATTGCCACTGTATTTCCGGAAGCGTCACGTGTGTAAGCAGCGTGTGTGCCCCCGAGCGCCGTGTAAGAACCCAGTGAAGACTCCAGGTCACTGCTGCCCCCGTTGCTCTGACTGTGAACACGAGGGTCAGCAAGTGCGGAATGGTCTTCGAGTGCCACATATATCAGATCCATGTATGGAATGTGAGTGCCGGCGAGGCAATATGGAATGCTTTAAAAGAAGATGTCCTGATACCGTCTGCCGGAACCCTGTTACACGAGGCTGTTGTCAGGAATGTGATGACTGTTTATATAATGGCAAGGAGTACAGCAACAGACAGACATTCCTGGACCCGACGGACCGCTGTAAGGCCTGCAGCTGTGTGGATGGCAACATCATCTGCTCCCCGAAGCAGTGCCCTCGTGTCACGTGTTTGAACCCAATGCAAGGGGAGTGTTGTCAGGAGTGCTCCAACTGCCTCTTCCAGGGTGCTGTGTACGACAACGGTCAGGAGTTCCCCGACTCAGCCGATACCTGCAGCTCCTGCTACTGCAAGTCAGGAAACGTGGAGTGCACAAGGAAACCCTGTGCCAATATTGCATGTTCCCATCCAATGAGAGACGGCTGTTGTCCGGTGTGCGATCGAGGATGCCGGTTTGAGGGCAGGGATTATCGTGAGAAGGAGAAGACGGAGCGTGACTGCCAGGTGTGCACGTGTACGGATGGGAACATGCGGTGTTTCCCCAAGTACTGCCCACCGGTCAAATGCTCCAACCCGGTCACTGTGGACTGCTGCCCGGTCTGTGGAGACTGCATGTTTGAAGACAGGAAGTTCCGCAATGGTCAGACGTTCCCCGACGTGAAGGATCCGTGCAGTGAGTGTGTGTGCAGGGTGAGGGCATGTTGGAAGGTCAATTATGATGTTCAGAAGTAGTCTGTTTGTTATAGATCAGTCACAGCGTTCAGATGTAGTGTCACAGTGTATGTGTTAGATGTATGTAGTGTCTCAGAGTCTGTGTGCAGATGTATGTAGTGTCACAAATTATGTGTTCCGATGTATATAGTGTCACTGTTTATGTATGTGGTGTCACAGATTATGTGTTCAGGTGTATGTAGTGTCACAGAGTATGTGTTCAGGTGTATATAGTGTCACTGTTTATGTATGTGGTGTCACAGATTATGTGTTCAGGTGTCTGTAGTGTCACAGATTATGTGTTCAGGTGTATATAGTGTCACTGTTTATGTATGTGGTGTCACAGAGTATGTGTTCAGGTGTATGTAGTGTCACAGAGTATGTGTTCAGGTGTATGTGGTGTCACAGAGTATGTGTTCAGGTGTATGTAGTGTCACAGTGTGTGTTCAGATGTATATAGTGTCACTGTTTATATATGTTGTGTCACAGAGTGTGTGTTCAGATGTATGTAGTGTCACAGATTATGTGTTCCTATGTATGTAGTGTCACTGTTTATATATGTTGTGTCACAGAGTGTGTTCAGATGTATGTAGTGTCACAGAGTGTGTGTTCAGATGTATGTAGTGTCACAGATTATGTGTTCAGATGTATGTAGTGTCACAGATTATGTGTTCCTATGTATGTAGTGTCACTGTTTATGTATGTGGTGTCACAGATTATGTGTTCAGATGTATGTAGTGTCACTGTTTATATATGTAGTGTCACAGAGTGTGTGTTCCTATGTATGTAGTGTCACTGTTTATGTATGTGGTGTCACAGATTATGTGTTAGATGTATGTAGTGTCACAGATTATGTGTTCCTATGTATGTAGTGTTACTGTTTATGTATGTAGTGTCACAGAGTATGTGTTCAGACGTATGTAGTGTCACAGAGTGTGTGTTCAGATGTATGTAGTGTCACAGATTATGTGTTAGATGTATGTAGTGTCACGGAGTGTGTGTTCAGATGTATGTAGTGTCACAAATTATGTGTTCAGATGTATGTAGTGTCACAGAGTGTGTTTTCAGATGTATGTAGTGTCACAGATTATGTTTAGATGTATGTAGTGTCACAGATTATGTGTTTAAATGTATGAAGTGTCACAGATTATTCATTTAAATGTATGAACTGTCACAGATTATGTGTTTAAATGTATGAAGTGTCACAGATTATTCATTTAAATGTATGTAGTGTCACAGATGTATGTAGAATAATTTATTGTTTGATGTTAATGACATCAGATACTACATTCAGCTGTTCTCAGTTATTATCATAGAGTTTGAATGTATTTTGTGTGCAATCAGATTAGACGTAGATGATTATAGGCACTGTTTATACCAATGCGTAGTCACAGATTATGGCAACCTCTGTAGTCACAGATTATGTCCAGCTGTGAAGTTACAGATTGTTTTGTTTTGGTCATTTGTGAATCACACATAAAGTGAAGGCTGCGACCTGTCCTAAGGCACATGTGAGTGAGTGAGTTTAGTTTTACGCCGCTTTTAGCAATATTCCAGCTATATATCACGGCGGGGGACACCAGAAATGGGCTTCACATATTGTACCCATGTGGGGAATCGAACCCGGGTCTTCGGCGTGACGAACGAACGCTTTAACCACTAGGCTACCCCACCACCCCCCTAAGGCACATGTGCAGCCATTGTCAGGACATCAGTAAATACAGAGGATATACATGTAAGCATGAAGCAGACTAATATGCCTCCATGTCAGACACCTCACAATGTTGTTGTCATTCAGGATGGAACATTCAAGTGCAGCAAGAAGTCATGTCCGGCTCCCAAATGTCAAAACCCAGCACAAGGTCAATGCTGTCCTGAATGTCGGAACTGTGAACTGAATGGAAAAATATTGGCACATGGTCAGCGATTCCCCCGCTGAGACAGATCCATGCAGTACGTGTGTTTGTCAGGTGAGAATAGGTCACATGACTTAGTTGATCACCTGAATATATACATTGGCTGCAAGATGGGGTTTGCAAGATTGGGGTTTGCCAGAATATATCTCACCTATATAGGGGGGAGTGATTGATTGAGTGAATAAATATGGTTTTATGCCGCTTTTAGCAATATTCCAGCAGTATCTCGGCAGGGACACCAGAAATGGGCTTCACACATCGCACCCATGTGGGAATCAACACAGGTCTTATGCATGATGAGCGAATGCTTTAACCACAAGGCTACCCTACCACATCCATAAGGGGAGTTGGGGATGCCATGAAATAATGATGCACCTCGACATTTTCAAATTTGGACGATTTCTGGTTTCCCCACTGTGATATTGCTGGAATAATGCTAAAAGCGGCATAGAACTAAACAAACTCAAATTTGAACATTATTGATGGATTGGTCATTTGATTTTTGGAAGGGTATGTTATGAAAAATATTTAGGAGTAGGCCATGAACTAATGTTAAAATGAAGGAAGAGTATGAGACAGTCCTAAGACCAGTCCTTTTATTGAATTAATAAAAATGACAGTTCCTTTATATGTTGCCATTCGGGTTAGAATTGATCTTCAGTGACCCATGCATGCTTGTCATAAGAGGCTACTAATGGGACTGGGTGGTCAGACTCACTGACTTGGTTGACACATTTCATCGTATCCCAGTTGCATAGATTGATGCTCATGATGTTGATCACTGGACTGTCTGGTCCATACTCGATTATTTACAGACCGCCGCCATATAGCCGGAATATTGCTGATTGTGGCATAAAACTAAACTCACTCACTCACTTATATGTTGCCATGTCCGAGAAGTTCATCAAGCCTCAGTTGTTGGTGTTGCAGTTTAGTGTACATGTATTGTATATTGTATGATTGTATCTTGTATTGTCATTATTTATTCAACAGCTTGGAACGATCAGCTGCGACCGTCACACATGTGACAAGGTATCGTGTGAACACCCTGTGATTGATTCATGTGGATGCTCAACTTGTCGTCAGTGCAGCTACCGGAACACCACATACAGACACAATCAAGAATTCCCAAACCCTGAGGATAAATGTTCAACCTGCCAGTGTAGGGTAAGTTCTCTTCCATTGTTGCGGGAAATATAATGTGACATGTCTGTTTGTTGTATAACACCTCGCCAATATTCCCACTATATGGCTACGGTCAGTAAATAATCAAATCTGGGCCAGACAATCCAGTGATTAACATCATAAGCATTGATCTACACAATTGGGATACGATGACAACCGAGTCAGCAAGCCTGACCACCTGAACCCGTTAGTTGCCTCTTACGACAAGCATGGGTTGCTGAAGACCAGTTCTTTCTGGTGAAACAGGCAGTCATCAGTAGTCGTCACTGGTGTACATTTTGGAGAAAGGTTACAGTCTGATATGAGATGCTGATTGAAGAAGTATCGAGATGATTTAAATTACTTTGAATACATGCCCTGTGACATCATAGACATGATCTCTGTGGCAGTTCTCACAATATAAAGATTTTCAACACACTTTTCATCTTCACTGTCAGCTACAACCCAATCCAAATACAGATACAGTAAACTACGTTCATAATGAATCCACTGACAATTAATCCATAATTATGAACTTTGAAAATGAAGATTGGTAGTCCTTTTGTGTTTGTAGTTTACTGTAGTGTACTCTTGCCAAAACATACTCTGCACATGTACAACCCTGGGAACATGTCTCTTCTTCTCTGACTAATTATTTCCCCAACAATTTAGATTCACAAAAATAGGTTGATCTTCACACTAGTGATTTCTTTAAAGATAGTCATGTCTAGTGTTTATTGGGTGCATATGTGTTTACTACTGAATGACGTATATTTTGTGAATGCGTTGGGAGTGGATTCCCTGCGACGTTGCCCAGGCTGTAGATGCCATTAGTTACCTGTTATCCTTCATCTTATTCTAAATGCATGGAAGCGTTATGTACTGTGAATTTCAGATCAGTGTGTTGTTTATTATTGAATATACACTTTCAAAACTTGCTATGAAATCACAAAAGATTCATCAAATAAGATGAAGTCAAGGAAGCCTCCTGGTTTTGAGAGCAAGGAGCAAGGTTTGTGTCTTTCCACCAGGAAGAAATGGAAAGATGGCAAGAGCTCAAAAGTGTAATGTCCACAAGGCTTAGGATCCTTCTGTTGCCGTCTGCTCACTTGCCCATGGATAAGGAGTCGGTGTAACACCAAGCACACACTTACAGACTGGTCATCCCGGCAAGATAGACATGTCGCACAGCCCCAGACAAATGGTTATCTTGAAGCATGTCCCAAGAATGATTCCAATTTCCAACCATAATCCAGGGGTAGAATCCAAAAGGCAGAGCAAAGGAGGTAACTGACAACTTACTAGAATCAACTGTTGCTCTGAACCTTCTTTGTTGATGGGCCTCATTTCAAGGCAAGGATTTGATTGAGTGGGAATATCAGACTGCTTGTCACTGGACCAGACACAGACTTCTATTTCATCAATGTGCGGTTCATAGATCCTGGACTTCAAACTGATGATTACGTTTTATAGAGCATTTCCTTTGGCCAGTCTTAGGATTCTACTCCTTCTTATTCTAGCCCCTCAAAGAAAGAAATTTGCAGATACTGCAGAGCTCATAGATTATCTAGTATGTTAACCCAAATTTCAAATGGAATCACGAATCAGTAACAGCTGGCGCACCTTGGGTTTGAAGCAGTGTTTGACATCTGAAATCAAGTAGTTCCTTTTCCGACAAGTATCAGTCAAGATTCCAGTTTTTCTCTCTGGTCCTGGTATCGTCTTGTGCAAGTGTAAAAAGCCATTAGCACTTTATGATGCTGGGATTGGAAGAGAAGCACTCCTACAATTCCTTGATCAGCATCAACATTTATTCCTCTGTTCTCTCGTATCTTTCATGTGCTGACTACTTCAGTGCTATCACAGTTTGGTACTGGGTTGCATTTGTATACTTTTCTCCTACCCAAACTTGCTTACAAACAGATGGTCCTAGCCAGCCAT